GCTCAGTGCATGTTTGTGTTTGGATGGGAAGCATTTACAACAAACCAAAAGCTATTATTGATTATAAATGGTCCGGACAAACTTGGGGACTGTTTGAATGTGAAGGGCTCATTTCTTCATTTAGCTAAACTTTATTTTGGTGAAATATTTAACAGTATCGATGTGTTCGAAGGAGTCAAAGTGGAAGAGTGATCGGTGTGTGGAAGTGAACCAATTAGATAATCTGGTGTGTAAATCTGTAAAGGTCGGCGATCCAACAGTGTTTATTCTGTTTGCAAATACAACAAAAGGGAAATGCGACGGTCAGATAAGTGAGCAGCTGCAGAGTTTTCCATCGAGCCAACAAGACACGCTCCCAACCTTCTACGTACACATTTGTGCCATTGCTCACCGGCGCGGTTTAGTGTACACGACAGCGAAAGGATGTGGAAAAAAAAAAGGTCCTTCTTGTCTGTGTCTCCATCTTAACTTTTGATGCTTCAGTAACAAACATTCCTATCCTTCTTCCATCCGCCCGTCTTCCTGCTCCTCACGTGTCGCGCATTTCCGAGAGTCGGTGCACTCTAAACAGTTATGTTCTTGTTTCCTACGATCATAATCTCCACTGACGTGCCGGAGTCCCATTTCTCTTTTCAGCTGTGCGTGCACACTGTCGGCGCGGCCATAATGCACCAGGTGTCCAGCGGACACGCACGCCACGCAGCGCCGACGTTGAGCAGACCTCCGCTTTAACGCATGCATTACATTTCAGTATTATGTATCATAATTGTGATTTAAGTGTGGAATAAAAAGCACACGAGTAGGAGATGAATCGTGCTGCCGCGGGTTTCTCATGCGATCATTTATTTTAAAAAAAGGAAAATGCAATGTCCCGACTGTAGGGAGCACAACGGCGCATGTTCAGAGCAGAATGAATTGATTCCTTGGGAGGATGACGCAGTCGCAGCCCAGGAGGAGGCTCAACGAAGCAGAAGAAGTGGGGCTGCAATTATATGGTTTATTGACGGATTAGTTAATAAAAGGACATAAAACCTTTGAATCGGTAAAATAAATATGTTAATAGTTATTTGAAGTACTTGTTTGGAGGAAGCCTTGGTACATATATTTCAGAGCAACAAATGCGAAATTTGGGCAAAATGTATTACGTTGCCATGGATATGTCACCGTCAACAAAGCCAGACCGAATAACAAACAGTTTTGACCAAGCAGAACAGCCAGAATAACTGACTAGGATTATTTAGTTGGGAATAATTCATTTCAAAGAGAAACACCTTAAATTTGAAACAAAATCTTTAGGGGCCCTTAAACCAAAAGGTATCAATTAATTATTTTAATAAATCAGACTAGATGAACTAATGTCATTGCACTTTAGTACTGAGACAATGAAATGTAGTTAAGCATCTAACAAGAACAAAAGCACAAAATAAGAAAATATAGCATGTAGAACAAACACTAAGTAGTATGAGGACACCAGATACACTATAGGTAGTACTAATATTGTTATAATTATGTAATAAGTGATTACAGTTATAATTTGTTTGTCACTTTCAAGCGTAAATACCAAACACTAGTGTTCATACTGACTTTTCGTTTTTTGTCACTGCTTATTAACCACTTCAGATTGTTGGTGGGACAGAAAGAGTAATTTTAAGATATTGCACTGGGCGAAGGAATATTGTTCAAATAAATTCAAATAATTGTAAGAAGAACATTCCAGGTATGAATTCGTAAAGCAAGCAATAGTTATACAATAACTAATTCTATTGATTATTACGTCTATTAAGTATTTCCTCTACTCATGCATCCGTGTTTATCTGATGTGGACATTGTGTCCATTGTGAACATTTTCTTCTTCACTAAAAAGAAAACCTCCTCGGTCCATTGTGTGTCTTCCGTGTCATTACCGGATGAAAAGCAAAAGCCTTTTCCAACAGTGAACGTTCTGCTCCGGCTTCTTTCCCTCAATAGTGTGCTGCTAAAATGACACAGCACAAGATAAAATAGTAATGCTAATATCAATAGTTTGTCCATTACAGGTCAGATAACTGTCCAGCAGAACTGTTACAAAGCTGTTCTTTTTCGATCCCACAAGGCCGATCAATACGGGGGCATACTGTTTCAATTTTGCCGGCATTGATTTTCTCTATAACACTCCAACCCTAAAGCATTCGTCTTTCTGAAGGAAGGAAGATTTGATTTACTGAAGAAAAATTGGAGTGCACATCAAAGATTTTTTTTTTTTTTCGCGGGCGGGAGGGTGACACACAGAAAGATGGATGTCCCTTGGCTGGGGAGCCTCTAGCCTAAGGGCGTCCATTAGAGCAGTGGTGCTGCAGAAAATGAGCTGCTTATACGAGGGACGAGGAGCGCGGGGGGAGGGAGGGGGGAGTCGGGGGACGGAGGTGAGTGGGACTCGCGGTAGGTGAGCATCGTTGGAATGAACCGCCGACACAAAGGCTGCTGATGCAGGCTTAAAAGGGGAGGAAGACAGAATAGGGAAAAGGGGGCGAGCCCCGGGGAGAACAGCGACACCTCTTCCCTCTGAACAGCGTTTCCATTTGCCTCCGACGGACCGGCTGCGTCAGCCGATTGTCACCCGAGGCTTCCGGGTTCAGAAAACGTGCACGTCACAATTTTTCAGCCCCAGCCTCCTTCCATTTTTTTTATTTTTTTATTTTTTAAACTCCCCTCGTCTCCTGCATCCAGAGTGAATTTCCATGGTACATTAGTCAGCCTATTACAATGCAATAAAAAGAAGGTATGAGAGGGGAAGGAGGGGAGAGTAGTGCGGCTCCCCAGAGGCCGTGGAGTTGGCGTTCTCCATCATCTGCCCTCGTCTACCCTCTCTGTCCGTCGACTTTGTCCAGGTGTCATATACATGAAAGATGATTCCTGACCCAAATAAACACCGCAGCGGTCTGGATGCTCGGTGGGCCCGAGCTCAATGAAGGGGGAGAAAAAGAATAAAGAAGAAGCTGCGATGAGTGATGAGGAGAGGCAAAAAAAAAAAAAACTCAGACATCTGCCAGTTGATTCATTTGTGGCCATCTTGCTAGGTGTTCATTTGCTTCAAAGCAGGCTGGCGTGTTGAACACCTGAGTCTCAAGGCACCCGGACAGAAACGTATGGATGAAACAGGTAGTCAGTCGCCTGTCTGCCTGCCTGCGGATCCGTCGACGTCTTGACACCAGGTGACAGACAAGGGCACAAAAGCGATTGTCTGGTGGAAGAAATTCTCCCTGGAAGGCCGGTGATACAACAAGAAAGAGCAAATGACGGGGAGGAGGAGAGGTTGTGAGCAAGAGAGAGAGAGAACCGCAGACAAAGCAGAGATGGAAAACGGAAAATCACCTAACACCTCTTTTCTCCAGAGGCCGAGGCCGCTGTAAGCTGGATATTAAGACACAAATTGCATTCAGGCGGGTCACGCCGTGTCAGAAGATATTAGACGCCCGCCGTGAGGAAACAACAATTCCCATCAGCTCGTGAGAAAATAATATTTTCATTTTCAGACTCTTTATTGAATGGAAACTTTGGGGAATACGCTTTTATGGCACGCGAGCAGCCAGGCAACAAAAGGTCGTAATCATCGCCCGCGTATTGTCTTTGTGTTCCCGGGATTTCAATCTCACAGCTGGAGAAAGCATTGTGTGCGCCCGCTCCCTTCCCCCATCTGTACTCACAGGCAGCGGCGTTGCTGCATCACACGTTGTGCTGTCGTATTTGGGGAATTAGGGAACAAACATCTCTTATTTTAGAGCGCCTGAAGGCACGCAGGTGTGCCGGTGTATTTTTTATTTTTTTCCCTTCTCTTTTTACTTGTTCTTTTTTTTTTCGGCACCAGATGTTTCTCCAATGCCCGCATACCACGGGCTCTGGTGCGTAGCTGCACCACCTGACCTTCACAGTAATTGACCAAAAGTATTGATGTAACGGCACAGGACTGATTGTGATTTATTAAAAGAACGCAGCACTCCAGGGCCCGGTGCCAACGGCTCCCTGCGCCCATCGGCAGCCATTAGGAAAACCATCAATAGCGCGGCGGCATAAAGGGCGCGTAATGGGGGGACTTTTTCTGGCCAGGGCTCGTAGAATAACAATCTCCATAGTAAATAGTGCGAGTACACGCGAAGACCGGCACAAAGAGAAGAGAGGGAAGTAGCAAAAGGAGCTAGATGGTACCAAAGGAAGCACAAATCGGACAAATAATCCACCGCGTTCTATGAGAGGAAAACAAAACAAAAGGCAGGCAGAGATCGACGCCTGATCCAACAGCAAACTAACCCTCCAACCCAAACGAGTCTCCAGAGAGTTGCTTCAGCCTAACGAGCGCGAGCCGGCGGCCGTCTCTCCGGCTCACCATTACCCGCTACCTGCACAAACAGCCGTCATTAGGGAATAGCTGCTTTGGATTCCGCCGCCTATTCGGCGAAACAAACACGGAGGATCGGGTTCCCTCCGGTCTTAATGGGAGCCGGGCTGTTTAAATGGCTTTCATGTCTCTCTCCAGTCAATGCATCATTCAGCCCACAGCTGGCGATTTCACCTTTGCAAATCTAATTGCATCAAAGCCGGGAGCATTGGGGGACGAGAAAGATTATGATGAGATTAAAAACATTACAGGAGGTTTGAATCATTTCAAGGCTGAGGGAAACGACGCGGTTCATGAAAGAAACTAAACAGGTGCCTCCTCTCGATTAAAGCTTTCTCAGGGAGGCCAACTTGGGGTCTCTAAAGTGTCCTGGCATGTGGACAACAAAACATAATTGTGATAAAATACGGAATTAAATGATTTGTCATGTACAAGGATTAAATAAAAAATGTAAATAAAATGCATTGTGTGTGTGTGTGTCTGTGAATGAAGCCAACAGAAAACCTACAGCAGTTTTTCTCACCTTAACACAAAATTTCATAATATTTCAGTAAAAAATGTAAAACCTGAAGAGATGACGACAATGTAACAACTCCCAGAATGCTTCAGCTGTCTCACGTGTTCTCACCTCTTGGAAGAGCTGCCCCAGGCGCCATGTTTGTCGGTCAGGATGTTGACTATCTTCTGGATGAGCTGTGTGGCGGTCATGTGATCGCGGTACTTGGCCGCTCGGATCAAGTGGTCGCACATTTTCTCCTCGTCTCGCTTCTCCGCCGCGTACTGAGCACAGGCCGACTGAGAACCAAAGAGAAGAGGTGCATTACACATTCTGCAAGAGAAGGGATCACGAGCGCGTCAAGAGACAAAATGATACAACAATTAGGATTTGTGAGAGTATCTGGTGCAACGCATGTGGCGAAAACACAGGTTCTACAGGAAAGTAGAAGACGGACGCGCATAGAAACTCCACTCTGAGTGGAACCAAATGAAAAGCACGGGGGTCATTTCTGTCCCCGTGTCATGTTGATTAATAACAGTGGACACGTAGCCACTAATGCCCCCGCGGCACACCGAATCACACCATACCCACAATGCACAGGGAGGACATTTTTCTCTGTCGGAATTTGTTATCAGAACGGGCCTTTGAACTCGGGGGCGACGGAAAAAGTAAAACAAAAGTGAGCATTAGAAAATGGGGGAAAAGGCAAAACATGTTGTATTCCCAGCTAGCCACGCCCATCATCAGGCTTATATTTCCCTCTTCGTGTTCCCATAACGGCCACTGAAGCTGCGGCATCAAGAACAGAAGCCCGTTATTAATGCACCTTTGGGTTTTTACTCATTGCCTTATCAAATTAACCTTTGACTAAGCCATCGGCATCAGCCCAGATGCATTACTGAACAACGGCAACCTGCTTGCCCAAAGTTACCAAAGCGCTTTATAATGGGTCCTCCTCTTCAATTTGAACGACAACATTTCATATCCGACAGAAAATCTATAGGTATAAATCAAATTAGAGGGGCCTTCCTGCAGGCCACTGGGCCTTAATTATCAATCTGTGTCTCTTTGTGTGGCATTAATGTGGGCCTTGACCTTCCAGCACGATGACCCGGGAAACGGAAAAATAAAGGCAGAACGGCAAATTTCAGTAAAAGGTTTCAAATTTTCAACCAGAGAAAGCTTGGCTTTGCTTTCCTGGTGTGTGTGTGTGTGTGTGTGTGTGTGTGTGTGTGTGTGTGTATGTGCGCGTGTTGCATGTCCATTAATCTTGATCAGTGCTACTGAAGGCAAGCAGGAACTGGGACAAGGGGAAAGCTGGACCAGAGGAAGGGAATAAGAACCGGGTTTAAAATACTGTGAACCGGGTTAGGCCGAGCATTTAAATATTGTTATACTTTAAAAGAAATTGTTAATCTAGAAAAAGAGAAACAATTTGTATAAAGTATAAAATTATAAAAAAGGATCAAATTGGCCAAACTAAATGGTATTGTGGATTTCCGTCCTTTAAACAGATATTAATAAGCCCATAAAGTGCATTTCCATCTGCCCCCGTCTGAGACATGCTGTAAAGTCTGCAGCACTAATCCACAGCGCTGCGTTCAGACTCGTAACCATAAACAAACACTTCATCACCTGTGTGTCGAGCCTGCCCAAACACCCAAACCCTCCATGCCGTAATGGGATTTTCTCACAAGCGAAGCCAAAGTCGACTCCAGCAGAAAAGGCCCAAATTCACAGACTCGCCTCTGAAACAACAACCGAAAGCGCCATTAAAAGCCGACGCCGCGTTCGCTCTCGAGAGGCAAAGACGAGTCACTGTTAATGCCCGGGGTCATGCCGTAGATGTGAGGTCAGCGAGTACGCAGGCGTATTATGGAGGACTTATTATGTTATGTTATTACAAGGGTTGGAGCGAATAACCCAATCTACCAGTTGGCACCGTCCTACAAAGCACATAAAGGAGCACATAAACTAGAAAGCAGCTTTTTGGGGTATTTTCAAACAAACTGCTTTTTCTTTCTTCTCGTGGAATATTGAAGAAACATATGAAGTAAATTAAAAGAATCTGTCTTTTTTCTTTTTTTGTAGTCTGAGTGACTAAAGTGGTCAGTGTGCATATTTTGACAAGAAAATCACCATCAAAAGACCCACTGGGAGACAAGCGCTTCCATTTACCCAGTTAAGAGTGCAGCTGAGGAAAAGGGGGATGGCTGACTTCCTACCCAGACAGCCACCGGGGCACCGGGGCACGACTCGCCGGCACGGAGACCGTTATGACTTGCGACACCGTAATCACGGGCGGTGCCTTCCATTACACGGCCCGGCTGACAGGGTCGCCCGGCGCGAGGGAAGACAGCTCGCTGAGGACGAGGATGATAATGGCTGGCATTAATCGAGTCAATTACACTGAGCCGTGTCTCGCGCAATTCATCAACGGTCCAAGTGAATAACATGTGGATGCGCGTCGGAGGAAGCGGGCCCGTGGCGGGGAAGGTTACAGCGTTCCTCCGGGAAAATTGAAGGAGACGGCGACGCGCGCAGACGGAGAACGAGGCGCATTTGGTGCGTTATTTTGAAAGTTGTCATTGCGGTTATCACTGCCAATGGTGATGATTCTACAAATGGCCGGCGTGGAGGAGCCGGGTGGTGTCGGCCTCATCTAAATGCTGTAGTTGTTGTCAGATGATGCCTCGGCTCGCCCCCGCCGCCCCTTCCTCTCCCTCCCCGGGTTGCGAGGGTTAAATAGTATAACAGGCTGGCGAACGGAGGCTCATTACAAGATATCAGCGCCGGGTTTATCAATTAGGCTGACAGAAAAGGTTACGTGCCGTTTTCTGACAGAACCGGGCTCTCTGGGTTCTGCCGGGGAAACGGGAAGAAGAAACACCAGCAGAGGCGTTATTAAAGCGCTTGATTTGCAATCTCTTGACACCGGTGGCACTTGGGCGCTACGCACTCTGAGGCTGAGCCATCGCTCTGCGAGAAGCTCCAATTTCTCACATCCGTCGACAAGCCCTCCCGGAGGGTTTCATTTACAAACGGGCCGAGAAACTGTCCAGAGGAAGGCGAGACATCGGGGCTTGTCCTTGTCTTGCATCAAAGAATGCAAATATACTACAAATAAATTCCTCCTGGATCACAATGGAGGTCCAGGGAGACAAGGGGATATGAGAAAGCAGGACGGGGGTCGGGAAAAAAACAAAGTAGATGCTGAACAAGCCCACCAATTGGTTTCAAAGAGATTCCCTCGCACTTGATCTCTTGGCCTCTAGTTTTCGAATTGCAACATAAAACGTCGCCGGGGGGAATTCAGACAATGGGCTCGGCAAGAACGAGTGAAAGGGGAAGGAGGGGGAGAAAAATGAGGGCTTAAAAGTACAATGGCGAACAAAAGTCACCAAATGACAATGCCTGACAGCCACTTCAATTCTGAAATGATGCTGCTGTCGTGCCGCGCTGCAAAGTATTGATTTTTTTTCCCCCTCTTCTCTTGGAACACGGGGGGGGGGCGGAGGAAATAATCTAATCCGGTTGAAACAGATCCCTCTCTGCTGGCACCGGCGCATTGCTAGCAGCCATCAAGGTTAACGCCGGCGCAACACTTATCAAAGTATCTCTCTCCTCCTCCTCCTCCTCCTCCCCTCAGTCTGTGGCAGATGTTTAATGGACTGGTCACCACGCTCAACTGGCAGCCTCTTCATCTCCGCTGCTCAGAAACCTCTTGTCTCTGCAAAACAGCGCCTTCCTCACGCCACATCAGTCTGCGTTGCCGCCATCTTTTCACGATGACTCCAGCTCGGCCTTCAAGGTCACGCCGCAAGAAAAATCGCACTGTCGTCTGGAGGTGAAAAATACTCAAATGAAGAGAGGACGCGACCAGATGAGAAATACAAGCTCTCTCTCTCTCCAGCTTCCCTGAAAACACGATTACAGCAAATGGCTGTACGCTGAACGCAGATTGAATTTAAAATGTTTCTTTTATCAACAATATGAAACCAAAGCAGCAAACACACTTGAAAGTGTCTCCTTAAATAGTAAAAGCCACAACGGCTCGGCTCTGCGCCATTGAAACCGACTTTTACTCAGAGATCAACCTTCAGCTGTTGATGAGAACATTTGCTGCTGAAAAGAAGAGCGTGAGTCATAATTCGGTGAGGTAGCTGGAAGCTGCTGAGGAGGTACCGGAGGACACATGGTGAAGTCAGTCGGACTGAGACTACTCTCATACCCAGAACTCCTTCTATCACCTGGTGGCTTCAGTGAAACGGTAAAAAAATAATAATAATTAAGGAATCTACCGAGAAAGCAGACGGCCACGCTGAATGAACCAACGCGCTACGCGTTTAGCCGACAAAGTCTGAGTTGTGTTTTACGAGAGCGACCGATGTCCGATCCGGACGATTTTTTCCTCTTTCATCCATATTCTAGTGGCAAAAACACCATCACAATTCATTCTCTCCACAGAAGTTTTGCCCATAATGGGGTTTCCCGGGCTTCCGGCCCTGCTGACATGCTACATTACAGTTGCGACAACTACATGACAGCCGGCTGCAGCTGGTGGCAGCTATCAGTCAGACTGCTGTGAATGATGTGGTGTAACACACAGCCTGCGGGCTCTTTGTGTGTGTGTGTGTGTGTGTGTGTCTGAGAAACATTTGATGGCCAGATTGCTTTTGTAGCAGTAACTTAAATCTCAGATTTTTGTGCAACCAACATTGTAATCCGTCTGCTGGTTTCATTTATTTATTTATGAATATATAGATTTCGATGCACCGTAATAAGTCAGCGCCGGGCTGGATCTAACAAAAGCACATGGCAATTACATTACGACGCACGATTAGAGTGTGTCCTCGCCCGGCCCCTCCCTGCTATGATGACACAACATAACGAGCGTCAGCTCAATGCTAATGCCATCAATGTGGGGAAAGGCACCAGATCGCTTTACACGCTCAGCAGAGGAAGGAGAATGACGGCGAGCACTAATTAGCTGCTATCGTCTGGCTTTCACAGTATCTCCCCCACAGTCAATTCGATCACTCCACATAAACAGCAGAGGATGAATCAAGGGGGGGGAGGGGGATGTATGAAAAAAGACTGAGCAGAAAGGGAACGGTAAGACGGAATAGAAACGACTCGAGTCTTGCTCACGCTTCCCTATCTGGACCTTCTTATCTGCCCTTGTGCCCCTGAGCCCACCACATTTCATCCCTAATGAACAACCCCATAAAAAGAGGGAGTTCGATTTCTCTCCCTCCTTTCTATCTCCTTCGTGCTCCTCTGCAAGATATCAGAGTCTATCATTTACTGTGCCGGGCGGCAGCATCCGATCCGTGGATCTCCTCCACATTAAGGATCCTTTTAGATAGAGAACCCTAAAAGGTAATTGGATTTCCCCCCTAGTTATCTTCATCTGTTTCACCCCACGCCCACTGTAATAACTTACTCCCAGGGACAAAGATAACTCAATTGTGTCCCACAGAGAGGCCGTGCGAGTGAGAAAGAGAGAGAGAAAGCATATGTTATGTCTCTGAGGCAAACGGGTATCTAAACCCTCAATCGCCGCCTTCTAAAGGATATGAACTCTGACAAGGAGCAAACATAAATTTGTTTTTATGTATTTAATCATTCTCCTCTCTGGGGCTCTTGGTATTGCTGTGGAACTAAAGCGCCAGCTCTTAAAATGCACAACGGCTCGGCGAGGCGGATCATGTTCTGGCAATGACTCTGCAAACCTGCACACTTCCAGCGTAACGCAATGATATCACAGGCGGGTCGTTGTGGAAGTCTGCTTTGAGGGTTTATTTCTCACAAAATAATAACCAGGCTTTAGTGTCACCGCAACACAATACGAAAGGGGACATCGTTTAAAAAAAAAAAAAAAACGTGAAATAGCTGAAAATGATTTCAAAACCCGCCGCCCCCGCTCTCAGGGGGGGGATGTTTCATTGGCCTGTTATTTTTATTGTGGCAGTGCAAAATGAAACCCTCGGCTCTGGCAGGCTCAGGCAGAGCTTGTGTGGAGGCGAAAATCAATACGGCAATATCAGAGCAAGACTTATCAGGGCTTCACTTCTTCCCAGAGGTCACAGAGGAGCAACTGCATTTAAACGGGGGAATTCAATTGTGAAAGCGAGTTTGGGACGAGCTGCGCCGGCTATCTGATTAAGGACGGCGGGGAGACTGCGGGGGGAGAGGGTGAGTTCCCAATAGCGACGCCAAAATAGAACTAAAGTTCGAGCTTTGCGTTTGTTGTGTGCGCGCGCCGGCAATCGGGTGATGTTTAGTGGAAGTGATAGCGGCGCTTCATTCGGATTCGACCGTCCCTGAGCCCTTGATGCTTCACACGGTATTGATGAATCCCTATAAGACCAGTCTCTTCAATAGATTTTAAACATGGCACTAGAAAGCAAGATCTTGCATACTCGATTCCCGTGTTAACAAATAAGCCTCAAAGACGTTTCATGTCATGTTTTCATTCATATTGGTAATCAGATAAATAAGTGTACATTTATTCAAGGCTCATGGAATTATCAGACTGTAATTCAGACAGTGAAACAGCTTATTGTCACGTGTTAACGTGTCGCTTTCTTTTAGTAACACTTGCACGGAAGATTCAGCGAGGAGAAATCCGCTAAAGCACAAAAAAATAAAAAAATAAAAAGGCCTACACTGTCGGTTTTCACGCTGGACAGCGTAATGCGTGCGGCATGCTGGGAGTCTGGGACCAATGCCTGGGAGTTTGACAAATCGAGAAGCGTACGAGGCAGAGCAGGGATCATTTGTATCGTGCAGACTTGCTGCCAAGTCTGCCTGCCAGTCAGGCAACGCACTCCGGAGCCACGTTTCACTCGTGCTGCCGCTGCATGCTGTACGCACGCACGCTTATGCAGGACCACAAACGCCGCGGCCCTTTTCCACGGAGCGCGCAGTATTGATGAAACGACCTGCTGGAATCAAATCATGCTCCACCGGGTCGGTGTTGGTAGTGCCGAGTTGAGATCACGTCAGATCGTGTGTGAAAATGGCCGACAGCCAAGACAAGACTTTGTTCTGCAGGAGTTGTGCCCCCACCCCACGGATTGACTTTCAGCACACTTGAGGGATTTCACTTTACCCCCTTTATGTCACAGAGATGTGTCTTTGGTTTATTGGCGGCGGGTTTACACACAGTCAGCCCTTCAGGTCAGCACCTCTCGGGTCTGTCTGCAGATTTTAGTGCTGCCGGGTTCTTGAGAAACGAGTGAGGGAAGGGGGAGGATTCCTGTCACGCCCAGCGGGAGAATAGTGGGCAGGGTTTCATCAGGAAATGATTTTGGTGAGATCTAGAAAGCAGGAGTGCAAGGAGGGGTGTGTGTGTGTGTGAGAGGGGGGGGGGTTTCAGAGCTGGACTGGGAGACCACTAACGGTGCCCATGGGTCAGAATGGAGTTGGCACGGCAGCTGAATGGCAACGTTTGTGCTGAGAAGGGGCGGGGCTTTGTGGGGAAAACCTGCAGTTAACGGTGAGACACGAGGACGAATCAACTAGCTTTCATTGAATGTATTCACTGACAAAGCGTTCAGTAGGAGTTTCAAACTATCAAACATTTCGATCAATCAGGCTTAGTCTTTGTGCAACGGGCTTAAAGCTACAACTGGACTTCGTTGTCCGAGCTTAGAAAGCCTCGTGTTCTCTTCCATGAGATCTCACAGGAGGAAATGTGGTATGACGGATAGTGTTTGTTCAACATTTCTTTCTTGGTAGAGAAAAAAAAAAAGAAAGAAAAAAAGTCTGTACTGTAATCAGTCACCCGCCTTATCATCATTCATTCTTCCAACCTACAATTAAAGTTTAAATCTGTCATTTTTCTTTATTGATACATCTTTGAAACTCTCCGTATGAGAGAGTGTGGCAAAACAGGTCTTAGACACTTTGGTTAAAAAACACTGAACAGATCTGTCAGCTGGCACACGCAGCCCTACTTGTTTGGGTCACAACGTGCTCCAGCAGTCTGCAATCCAACATATCAAATGCCATTTGGTTTTGGGTGGACCTCAAAATGTGTCCACACCTAAAGACAATTTAGTTTGCGTGCATGATGAGAAATGATTGACTACCAGCGCAGTGCATCTTCTTACCTCAAACTCTGCATGTTTATGGATGTCTTCGGCTCTCTGTCGGCTGAGGATGAACTCGGCTTCATTGGCCACACGGACCAAGTGGTCCTTCATGGTGTGGCTCAGCAGCCTAGGGGGAGCAGAACATTATGGATTTAGAATTGTTACTGTAAAAAAAAATGATCAGGTATTCGCAAGTTTCTTCATAGAAGGGAAAAATGCCAGATTGTGGGTTTCGGAATATTTAAAACATCTGTTTAACACTATGATATCTGGTAACCGAGAGAAAGGACAGGCATGTAATAGCCATAAAACGCCTTAAGGAGCCGTGCAAAGTAAGCAGAAAATCTAATTTGGAAACAAAAACCAAACCAGATAGACCCCTTTAACTGTGGAGCAGGTGCTAATTGATTTGTTAATGATATGCATCTGACAAGAGGGAGGCTCTCTCCTCGTGTTGCAACATATGTAGTCCACCTCCCTCTTCTTATCAGTGTGGGTGAAACACGCACGTTGCGTGTGTGTGTGTCTAGGTCTAAGAAACCTCTCTGCAGCCCTAAAGGTCACGATTGTGCAAAGTGGAACAATAACAGACCAGAGGGGGAGGGGGAGAGTGGGGGGGGGGGGGTTTATGGACATGGGGATGGCTGTAACCTAAGCCTGCTGTTTCAGCACAGGGCAGCAGGGGAGCGGAGGTGCCGGGGCCTCTGCGGCCTCTCTGGCCCTGTCGAGGCCCCGCTATCAATAACCCCGCTACTGCCCTTCTTTATGGCGCGCTGTGCAGTACATGTGGACAGAGAAGACCGCTCCGAGGACGTTATGGAAATAAAACAGTCGCAGACTACCACATATGATAACATTTAATACCTCTTTGAAAAACAGACTTACCAAAGAGTAAAGAAAAACTATAAACACCTATAATTATACATTGTGATATACATGTTGAACTCATAATGATATAATCAATTGAACTAACGACAGCCAGTTTTCACTTCCATATGATGCTGATCGTGTTTAATGAATCACCACAAAAAACAAAAAACATTTTGTGGTGATTCATTAAACATGTTTTTTTTAAAATTGGCTTTCAATGCTTTTTTTGGGAAAAGACCATTCCATGTTTTTAGCCCCAAAACCCTGTTTTATCCAGCGGATATCACGTTGGAAGAACTTTCCACAGAAAAACCCAGTCAGGGTGTACATAACATCTGGATTTAATCATCATATAAAATGATGACCAGTTGGAAATGGTAGTATTTCAACTAACCATGTTGTGGTCATGTATAAACGGCCGTTTGAGTCCCACAAAAAGACCAGAAACACATTTGCATACAGAACTTTCACTAATGAGCTCTAGACGTTGAGTTACGGCTGTAAAAGTGTGCGTGCCAATAGAACTTATCATCAGGTATTACCAGGGATTAGCCTCTGCCGATTCTAAAAGGACAGCACCAATAATGGAAGTGTGGCCCTCTAAGTGTGAAATGGATGAGTTTAAGACTAAGAAGAGGAACTCATGTGGGAACGAGAGAGTCTTGATGGGAAGAGATGAGGCGGCTCATCCGTCAGGATAATTGAAAAAAAAAAAAAAAACAGAAACCCCCCCCCCCCCCCCAAAAAGTAGCAGCAGATAGAAGAGATGATTCCGGGCAGATAAAGGCCCAACCAGAAAGGCATAAACCGACTAATCAAGAGCAATTTCCTAAGCGTCACCGAGGTACCAGCGATCAGGGCCCCTGTCACCTTTTACCTCCCTCCTTTCCCCAAATCCCTGAGGGATGAGCTCGTATCGAATGGAGCTTTGAACTCAAGGGCCGTCCATCCTCTCCCAATCTCTTCTAACAACCCCCCCGTTCATTGATTGTTGTCCGGGAGCTTGAATAGCCACCCTATCACATGGGCCTCAGGGATCTTGGGAAGAGAAGGTGCGGGGGGGCTTGAGGGGCTGTGACGTGATGCAGGAATGGTGAAATTGGAAAGTGGCTGGTGGGTAGCGGTTGGTGAGATAGTGGAGGAGAGAGGACAGCACTTAGCGTGTCAGAGTTACCCACCTGCCTTCGTTGACCAACTCGATGAAGGCGAGGCCTGCGTTCTTCTGGATGGAGTTCTGCCATTCCTGCAAAAGAATCCCAAAATATCACCGACAGCACTGAAACAACATTAGCGGTTTACACAGACTACACTTTGCACACGGTCAAGTGAATCTCTGATCACAGAGATGCAGATTACATTAATGTGGAGTCAAAACATGGTAGATTTCAGGTAGATATCTTAAGAAAACCACTCTGACATGTGATGGGAGCCTAGTTTCAAAGCTGCCAGTTATTTTCTGCCAGAGTCAGATTGCCGTCCCATAGTTTCAGAAAATGATCATTTCCTTGTATTGAACAACAGTCTAAACCCCAAAGATGTTCTGCTTACAATTTCATAAAACAGACTAAAGCATGTTTTGCATTCCGCTTGAATATTGACTTACAAGATTTATAATTGGTGCAGAATATTTAATGATTCATCAATTAGTTGGTTAAACTCTATTCAAAACCTCTTCAAACTATAAAACAGATGTAACTGGACTCTGTAGAAACACAATTATGGAGGTACATCTTGGTGACTCAGTGGTTTACGCTCCGTCTGTAAGCTTTCCTGCCACTAAAGGTCCCGAATGTCAAACGAAACATCATCCAAAAAGGCCTCACTGACTGATTTTGTCAGCATAATCAGCTGGCGATCTAGTGGAAAGCAGTGAAGGAGCAGTGTTGAGATTCCATTCATCACGAGTAAATACACAAATTTCCTCCTCTTTGACTTGCGTTATGGTTCCAGGTGTCAGTCTAAACAATCCAACCGCCGCCGCGTGCGACTTTGAATCCTCCATTCTGAAGGGACACCGATGGAAGGCAAACTCAGCGGTCACCGTCTCTCAAGTTCTGTTCAATACTTCAACACCTTCGACACAACCGTCAAAAGAATAATAAAGCAACAAGGTCATGAGGCCTGTCTGAACCTTACAGCGCTTTCCCCCCCCGCTTCCTCTCTGGGGAGATGGGAGAAAATATGCGTGAAAAACCTCAGGTTAAAGCCCTAAACTACCCAACTAATCTAAAAAATAAAATGTTCATACAATCCACATTATTCAGCTTTTATTAAAAGCCTTCTTGATGCAGAAAAACAAATCTACATTAAGGGAATTGAATTCAGTTGCAAAACCCCGTATGGTGAAAGCCACGCTAAGCGTACGTGTATCCAAGCAAAAACTTTGCTGTCATCATCTGCCGGGCTGATCGAGGAAACGGCGTGTTTACGCAGCGACTGGCCTTTCAGTAAACCGAGAGCGCCCACGGGGACACCAGCGCGACCGAGGAGGAAGGAAGGATCGACTTACCGAGACTTCTACGACACATTCTACGGATTTTGTGCGCACACACACACAAACACACACGTGATGATTTTCGGAAGCCATGCCGTTGTTCTCTTTTAGCACAACGCATCGGAACCAATCACGCGGCGGGCCGAGAGGGACCGCGCTGCGGAACGTCACCCGGTTGTCGCACGCAGCAGCAACAACAACAACAACAGCGAGCCGACATTTGACCTTGTTTCAAAACCGCTTTACGTCCTGAAGGACCAGATTGGCGCTGACCGTGTTTACGATACATTCCAAATAAAAGAGGTGGAATAAAAGTCGGGGCGCGGGGAGTGGAAACAGGGCTGCGCAGCTCGAGGCCTGGCAGAGGGCCTCGCGGCTGAGGCTTGCCGGAGAGGAAGTGTGCGAGAGGCGGCCTTGGGGCCTTCTGGTTGAGGCCACGGACTGCAGTTGAAGGACATTAACCATGAGCGCCGCGGGGATATACCAGACCGGGCCAGACTGCGCTTTCTGGGTTTCAAATAAACATGACGACAGGAAGCGAGGCTGTAAATAGAGTCGTCCTCTCTGGGAGAACCAGAGCGCAAAGTGACAGAATGTCCTTCATTGGGATTGCTTGAAAATACATGGGAATTTAACATTGGGGTCCTACAATTTCAAGCAAAACTTAAAATTGGAATGGCAAAACTGCAGCTCGGTTCTAAATTGGGTTTGACGAACAGCGTAGAGGCCAACGGCCTTTAGTGGACACAGACAAAAGGTGATAGCAAGACTAATGGCGTCATTAAGGGCTAAGAAATAGCTCCTCTAGTTGAATTAAAAAGGCAATGACCCTGATCTGAGGGACATCTCACGGTGACAAAAAGGAAACTGAGACAGCTCAGTGATAGAATATTGGATTTTGGATGCCCTGGTCAGCGGTGTCACAGCTTTTATGACCACAGCGCTCCTGATGAGAGGATACAAGCAGCCATTTGTGACCTCTCCCCTTTAACCCGACCTCCTAACGGATGGTAGGAAGGAGAGACGGAGGCTGGCGCTTTGATCCTGATCGGAAAATGTTGACGGCGTTTAATACAGCCGGGAGGGGCTACGTTGCCCCCGTCTCAATGTGAAGCCCATGAGACGGCCCTGTTTGGTCTGTAGTTCCACGACGACGGCGCTGAGTCTAAACACGCGCGCCATGCGCTTCAGTCATTACAGCTGATTATCCATAATCAACATCTAAATATACCGTTACCACTAGTGAGGAAACGCAGACCTCCAGAGCAAAGAAACATCAGGCCCGCCACAACACAAGGAAAACACTTTCCACCGCTGAAGAAAGAAACGCCTCGACTCTCCCGGAATAATAAATACCTCGGTCGGGCTTTTTGGTGGCATCACTCATAATCACCAGTATTTGCTGACGGGAACACAACTTAAGACCAGAGCGTGAACACTAATGTCAAACTAAAAGAGGCTGACAGCTACCGGTTTTCTTCTTATTTTAATATATAGCAGAAATGTATAAAAATACCTATATAAATAAAAAGGCAAATTAGAATAATTCTGTGGTCATTAACTACCATAAATTTCAAGTTCATACGACCACTGACATATCTTGACATTTTTCAAATCAGATGTTTGAGAAGAAAAACACAAAAACAAAAGATTTCTTTCCGCTGCGAGCTTATTCATTACTGTCCTTCTGGCTGATTAGAGCAGAAGTTGAGTAGTGTGCTGTTTGTTCATGCTGCTCTGTGTGCATGAACCACTGCGACCCGGTGCGTCTACTCCCGCTCTCAACAGTCCACACGTGTGCGTTCAGACGCCATCTGCCTAAAGAAAAACACACACTCACATCGGTGTTTGCGTGAGCGATCCCACGACTGAGGGAACCTGTGCTGATGTCAAAATATTTATGCTGCAGCGTCTCAAAGACCTTATTAAACTCACACTTTTACAGTCAAGCGGAGTGAAAAACAAGATCCTGCGCAGCTGCTTCACTTCCGAGTGGGACCGATTTTAAGGTCCCAAAGGCCCAAAAAAAAAAAAAAAAAAAACACAGGGCGGAGCCATTTGGCATCGAGCCGCCGGGTCGCGTCGGTGTGACATGGTGACCTCTGTTACAAAGAACTTCCTTCCCCCCTGAAATAGTGTGGACATGGAACCGTTGTGGCGAGCCGCAGTCGATACCTCATTTTGCCGTCCATTTTTTCCCGGTTTTGCTCAACAATTGTGGGTCTTCACTTTAAAGTACACGCTATAGTATTTTGCATAACTTTGCAACAAGACAAACAGCGTAGTTCTGCCGTACAGACTGGTTCCCAATATGCCAGTAGAAAGCTAGCCTCGTGAATTCCGCTTTCATTCCAGATTATCGTTTTATTGGTGCCAAAACAAAATGGCTAGAAATTGATCCTGATGTTTCCTCGTCATCTCAAAGGCTAAGAGGAGACCAACGAAGAAAAGATCGATCCTGCTCTCACCAATGGCTCACAAATCAACAGAATCAACGCATTTATGTAGAACTGGTTTTTACTTAAAACATTTTCTAAAGTAATTCCATATATAGAGCCATATGCCAGCTGCTGCACTGGCAATATGAATGCAGCGTGCACGGGTCGAGAAGCTAAGTGCACACGGGCAAATTGATTGAAAATCTGCATCCCGTTTGCAGGAGTGAGGATACGGTGAATAAAGACAGAGTGGGCCAACTCTAACAATTATCATTAGATAATCTTTTTTTTCCCCCTTAGTCATATAGTTTTTATGCAGCCACATATTCAATCAGAAAGTAGCAGTCCATTGTGGTCAGGGATCTCGACCCCCCCCGGAAAATATGTTGAAGCCAACCTATGCCAGATGTCTCCATATGGTATGAATCCAACACTATCTTGCTTTGGCTATTTACCCGTACCTGAAATGACTTGAGGGGAGACCGCGAGTGCCATAATTGTAAACGTCAATGGAACCCTAAAGGATCATATTCACATAGAACAACATGTCAAATATGAACGTGTCCATCAACAAACCTGGTGTGACGATGCCAACTAGCCGCCATCTTAACACCCAAAAGATATGGAATGTAAATGGTTGTTATAGTAGGACTTTGTCCCAGAGGTACGAGGATGAATGACAGTAAATCACGAGCTGCGATTTGAGCTTCGGCTCCACCGGGTCAAAAATGCAGGGAGGTGTATTTCCACTCCAGATCCGAGCAAAAGGAGCCAGGGTACAACTGTATCAGCGGGACGGCTGAGAGGGGCTAGCGGGGGGAGAAACATAAGAATACATTCCAAGGCCTTAGAACTTGGGAACTGTCAGGTAAGAAAACATTACATTAACGCTGCCTGTCAGACGCAGAGGGGCTCCGTCAGGGATACTCGTTTATTGGAGGAGGGGGGGCGATTATACGTTGGGTATAAATAACCAGCCGGGTCGTGCCACTCGGGGCCCTCCGGTCCCGAGCCGGCTCAGTCAAACCGGCCGGGAGCCAAATTAAAAGCCACTCCATTTTTTAAGGAGTCTCCTGTCTGATTTCCCCCCTCCCCTCTCAGCTAGACTTCACTTCCTGTCAGGAAGTCCCCCTCGACCTCCAACCTCCTCCAACACAACACACCCCGCCGCCTGCTCCTCCTCCTCTCTGGCTGCATAGTTGGCAGCAATAGGGAGAAGCAGAATTAAGTGCCAGTTGGTGTTGCAGTGTTTTCTCTACGTCTCACAGGATAGTAACTTTTCAAAGAACATACAGCGTGATATTGTCCTCTGAACTGGAGCGCGTTGGCGGGGACGCCGAGCCGCGTGGCGCGGCCGTAAAGGGCCACTGGAGGGGAAGCAAAACACTTTGATTTGGACTGATCTTGAACCTTGCGTGCCTGTTTAACTGCACGGCGGGGTGTGCGTCCGACTGTGAGGAGAACGATGGGGAAAGGGTTCTTGTCCTCCTGGTTGCATCGCATTCCTCGGCAGTTCTCCCACCTCCCTCTCATGCTACGCGGCCTGCGTCCGATCCATCAAAGCGTCACCGGCGGTGGCAGAGAAGAAACCCGCAGACGGATATAAACCACTTTTTAGCAATTCAAACATCAGACTCCACTTTCCCCCGACAATGTATATGCGAAAACAAAACATACACAAGTAACCGATCAATTTGCTGTTTTTTCCCCCCTTCCCATCTCCAGAGCAACAAAGCGTCCAACTGGTTCCCTCGTTTCTCAGATTATGTTATTGATTGTGTGGAGCATGATGAGCGGGCGCTCCCGACCTGTTCCCCGACGGCAGGGGGTTAAACTTCTATGCCTCCGCCACTCTTACTTCTAACCTGGGGGTCAGAGGGTCAAGGGTCAGGAGGAACCAAGTGTTTGGGGAAGTCAATGTCCTTCTCCCCGCTGACTGTGGGAGAGAAGAGCCCATCTGTTAAGTAGGTTAACTTTGGTGAGGCTGGCTGGGAATATACGATAATGTGTGTTTATCGGGTTAGCGGGTTTAGGATTAATGTTATTGAATTACTATTAAAGGATTATCGGCATCCGTGGTTTCATCAAAATAAGTTTGTTTAGAACAGAGACTTGTATTCACCAGCTAAGTCCCAACTAAACCCCTTAAAAATACCTTTGAAACACAACAACAACAACAATAAATGGGTAATTCTTGACTACGGGAAATTAAAAGGCGAAAATAATCTAAATTGCAAAAAGATATTCTCACTTTGACATCATTTTATAAAACCACCCAGATATTAGTGATTGCTCAGGTTTTGACAGACCTCATGAAATAACAATTAGTGTCTGTAGTTAAATAATTATTCCAATAATGCACGTTATAAATGCAGCTTTCTCTTAACATTACAACTCAAACTTTAATCTTGTTGGGGGGAACGATGCCACATCTGGTTGGAAATTCCATCGCAGTGGATGCCGAAAAACGTATATATTTCAACTTCAGACCACACCACTATCTGCAATAACTCGTAATCTCTGGCAGCCGTATCTCATTTTAAGATGCCAATTTGACCTGCGTTCCTCCATTAAAATAATATCTGGTTTATGGGCTTCCGTCTGGTTCGACATGAAAGCAGCATAAGACTCCACAGCGATCATGAACGTCTGTATGCAATGTGCTTATTTGTGTTACTATAGTTTGAGGTATTTTTATGGTATTTGATTAAGACACTGCATAGAATGTATTTGTTCAGGTGAGTGGAAGAGCAGCCTTTCCTATCTGGGATTGACCATCATGAGACCAGAGACACTCCACCCCCCCCTCCCCCCCCTCCCCCCTTGCACTCCATGTACAGGATGCATTTCTGATAAATGGCAGAAGGATGGATGGGCTGACAGAGGGGCCGGACAATAATGGCTGATCTACAGGACACAAATGCAGCTACTGAGGAGATTTATGGGCCTCTGCTCATCGGAGACTGTCCAGTAACCCAGGAGATGATTTCTCAAAGCTCCGGATCGACGGCAGCGAGCGCCAGGGAGAAGCCCTTTCTCTTGTCCTACTGCATTATTTATTTATTTATCGGATGTTTACGCTGGAAGCCACCTCAAGAAGAGCAACCAGGAAACGACGCCCACAAACACGACGAAGAGTGAAACTGTCGAGGCGAATCAGCACGTGAGGAGTCGAAATTTACATACAAGACAGAAAAAACGTAATAAGCATAAACTCCTTTGAGGAAGGCAGGATGACATCTTCATATAAACCGTAGAAAAATATCTTGTTATGAATTTAAATTGTCCAATAATCACCAAAGAATTGCATATTATAAACAAATAGAACATTGTTTTACTCATCATGGTAGCCGTTTATAGCAACAGAAATGTTTGCAATCAGATTGAAGTAAAGCTGTAACAATTTGTCAATTAGTGAAAATATAGAAAATATATCTGCATCATCTCTGATGAAGAATTAATCGTTTTTATCTCACATTTTTAAAAGCTAGAATTTGTATCTTTTATTTTTTTATTTGCTTTGTCTTGTATGATAGTAAACAGAATTTTCGGTTGTTTGAACAAAATAAAACCTCTTCATAAGGCAGCTAAAAGCAAATGACATTCGCCTCTATTTTCTGACATGTAATTGACCAAATAATTCATTTAAAAACAGATCTGGACATTAATAAAAAAACAATAAAAAAAGAATTGATTTTAAACATGGCACATGTTAAAATCTCAACAAAGCCATGCACAGATCCAGTACGTTCTGTCTACAGTATATGACCATTAATCCTCATCTTGTATATTCATCAGTGCTCAAAGATCGATATTAGAGAGTAGAACAAGGCAGCGCACCACCCCAACAGTTAATGTCTGATCAAAATGGTCCTTTAATTGGGAGCACAGTTGTAGTTGTTTAGAAATGGGGCCCAATCAAACGGCGGTTTACAATCCCCTCCTCAATGCCAAGCTGATGTGGCCGCCAATGGAACTTTCATAGGATCCCTGATTAAAAACTGCTCTGCGGTCCCCAGACTCCCGACCCTTCACCCTGGCTCCACTCCATCTCGAAGCTCGGGAAATTAATTAAAATTTCACAGAGATAGCATCGCATCTCCGATGAAGGAGTGGGGCGGGGTGGGGGGAATCAATCAAAATCATCTCAGTCCACTCAGTCCACCGGTTGCGATGAAGGCTGGGAGGAGTTTCACAAGACGGCCACGCAGGCACTTCCTGTGAGAGGATCGACTGCTTCCTGTGCCAGAGGGCCCGACAAACTTTGCTAAATAGTGTCATCAATCACGGCACCGTCTCCCTCCGTTCGCCCCACAAGGAGAACAAACACACAAATAATTACACGTAGTAATTTAGCCCGGAGGAAAGTCTGTCCCAGTTTCCCTCTTTTCCCCCCCGGTGGAAAGCAGCACATCGCCTCAGCCTCCCCCCCCCGTCATCCCTTACACAACAATAAAATTACATTTGCATTAGCTGTGAGAGAATTTGGTTGGATGATTTATGGAAGCAATCAACACTACGCCGGCCAATCCCTGCTCCTCTCCCAGATAGAGTGTGTGTGTGTGTGTGTGTGTGTAGATTGGGTGGGGTAGCTTGGCGCTTTGAGAAAGGAAGAAATAAGCTTGGGCTTGGGACCAAAGGGGGAAGCGAGCCATGAGCTGTGCAGCGGAGCAATCACCAAGATTCTTCCTTTGATTAGATTAGCATTAAACAACACCCTGACAGATATGACAAATAGGTGCATTAGAGCCTGTCATTCTCCTCTCTACGCTTTTCTGCCTCGCGCTCGCTCCTGCTACTCCTTCGTCTCTGGACATTACAGGGCTCGCATTCCCGCCGCGCGTCCCACTAGCACAAATCTATGCGTGGCCCCTGACATCCAAACAGATGTGTAATCTGACTGTATTACCTTTTTAGAGGAGACGGCAAAGTGAATAATGGGAAGCAAACAGAGTAGGGGGCTAAAAGGGGGGAGAAGGTGGAGGAAAGAAAGTCAGATGACAGGTGGTATTTCTTAAGGAAAATAGAGCCGATAAAAAAAAGCAGAGCACAGGCGGTGAGAGAGGGGTCATTAATCAGATGGGTTTTTTGTATTTGGTGGATATCTTTGTTTTTTCACGAGGTGCTTTAAATGGAAACGATGCAAACAAACCGGGCCAGAGGAGATTTATTATCCGTTGTCTTTGTCCCTGGATGAGTCCATGCGAGGGCAACGGTTTGTGTTTGTTTACACTTTGTAAAATAAGTAGATTCTACGGCGTTTTATAAAATGCATTTACACATAAATATAAACAACACTGTGTATTGTGTCTCGGTCCTAAACAGCCTTCAGTAGCTTTGGGTGTCTCGGTGCTAATCAGGCATCCTGGAGTGATCTATCGACGTCCGCGGTCATTGATCGGCCCACGCCTGCTTATGATCCCCAAATTAGTATTCATGAATCCGGCAGCAGCTAAATAAACCCGGCAAGAAAACACCCACAAGACAACAGAGAAGAGAGGGATAATCAATGCAAAGCACCATCAAATCTACATTATCCCTCCTCATCAGTTGGGCCAGGCCACAGGGGGGCCGGCGCTCGGGTCAGAGGTGGCGCGGGCGGGTCGGCCACCCTTGACCCTCAAACCGATATTGGCGGCCAAAGACGTCTTCTCTACGGTTTCTCCGCCCTCGCTCGGGGCGACTGCGGGAAGGTGAACAGGCCGGCGTGGAGGGGGAAGATAAGGGCGGATGGACGGCTCACTGTCTCCGCTCCGTGCTGTGGATTTACTGCACTCGAGGTGAGGCCGATAAATCAGAGCGGTGGAAAAGCGGCCCGGCGCGGGCCGAGGAAAGATAAAGACGCAGGACTTGCCTGTGAACACAGCAGCATGACGAGCTCCACCACTGAGCTGCTGGACTTCATGCACACCAGGCCTGGAGAGAGTTAGAAGAGAGGGCAGTCAGAAATGTCCACGTGACAATTAGCTATTATTTCTGTGAGCGCTCATTTCATCAACCTTCCTCTGTGCTTGTGGGAACACACACACACACACACAACTTTGTGCCATCTGCAAGAGAGCAGATAGTATTGATGGGCCTAATGAGCCGACATGATGTTACTGTAAACTAATACATATTTGGGCCTTGTATTACAGGCCCGACTTGGCCGGCATATGTCCCATTGATCCCTAATGGCGAGCCCTGGGCTTTCAGAGGGCAGGGGTGGACTTTAGTGTCCAGAGTCACATGCACAGACGGGAAGAGCAACCTTCTTTTGGTCGCTCTTCACATGAAACACACACACACACACACACACCTCCCCCTGTCTTCCCTGAAGGCCCCCCTGTAGCTATCAATCAACTTTCCATTTTGTTTGGTGGCAGCAGACACCCCAAACACTGCTATTAGTGGCCTGGCCTATGACCCCGGCCCCCTAGAAACCTTCAGCGCAGCTACCAGCTCTTGGCCCAACGCGAGCTCATCACACTCAGATTCACCACGGCCTGGATATGCAATGGGATTTAAATGATAACACACATTGTGACGTTGTACTCACTTGTGCCCTCAATAAGGAGTTCTTGTCCGTGGCTGCCCAGCAAAGTCCGAGAGAGGAAGGGAGCAAAGTCCACAAAGATCTCCCTGAGCAGAGGAGCTGCCTTCTCCAGAGCGTTCTCAAGACGTTCTGAGATGCTAGAGAGGTTGGGATCCCAACAGCACATCGTGAGTACAATGAACTTGGCATGCATCTCCAAAAAATCTATCCAGGAAATCCAATTTAAATACATAACACAAGTCAAATATCAGTCTTTATTGTGAAGGAAACGATTGGATTTAGGACAAAGAAAACTATCAGTGGAGATGTATTAAGAACTGATGCTCATGTGTGCATAAAAAGCATATAGTGCATGCGCTTGTGTGTATGTGAGAAAGGGAGAGAAGATGATGAATCACCTCATATTGGGGGCTGTGTTCTGGGTCACAGGGGACAGCGGGGGGACAGATGGCAGGCTAGCGCTGGCTGGAACCTGGCCGCCTGCTGCAGGGAGAAACCAAAGAACTCTGTTATTAGTCTGGATGTTGGACAAGAAAAAGGCGCTACGAACACACACACACACACACACACACTCTCTGTGGAGCAACATAAACCTGTGTGGAAACGTGCACCTTATGAAATAATACCTCCATTTAAATGTGTAGAGCAGGGGATTTATGGTCAAATAGGGCAAGTGGGGGTACAAGTATAGCTTTATGGCCAGATAGCAGATGATGTACTCCAAGGACAATACGTCTTCCTTATCAATTCACAATTCAGAGGTTTTCATGAGGAAAACCTCTCAATAGAGCATTAAAAGGTTGGGTAATGTTTCACTGTCAGTCATACTTTTGTTTGTTTAATATGACAACTATACATCAAACTAATGCGTGATATTAAGTGTTTGTTATAAATATGAACTACTTTCACTGTTACACCTGTGCTGGAATGTGAGATGTTTTCCCCCAGTTGCTTTTTCACTCATTAAGTCATTACATACCAATTTAACCCTTCAGCCTGTTTTTGTGACGGTTTCATTATACAACTAAAAGGTGCTTTACGACTTCATTCTGGAGACAGAGGCACACAAGGTACAAAGTCTATGTTTGATTGATCTGGCAGTAAATTCACTTCCCTGTGGCTCATAAATAAGCTAATGCCCAACAGAATATGGAGGAGGGGGATTCCTGGTGTTGCAGCGCGCTTGTTTTTCCAGCCAGGACGGTCTCAGAGCAGGGATAACTCTTAAGGAATGACAGACAGTGTAACGTGGACTGGAATGTGTGTGTGTGTGTGTAAGGTGTTAAGCAGCGCCATGTGGGCCTGGTAAAAGTATCTCTCTCCAGCTGAAGTAGCTCCTTCAAACAAAGGGGAGTAAATGAATGTCTCCATTAGTCCTCCCACTGCCCCACTAAAATTCACTCACAAAGCGTATTTACTCAACGCGGCTCACTGACACAAAGCCCTCTTTGCATACAGCTTCAACAATTATCATTATTCACAGGCGCACACGCCGCTGAGTGCACATCCCATAAAAACGAAAAGTCACCCCCTCATCTTAAACAAACAGATTCAGCAGTGAAAAAACATTATGCTTTAATACACAGTAGTTGATGCAGAAAAGGTGACCAAAACCAAAAAGATAAATGCTGGCCGTCGGATCGTTATTAATTGTCACTGCTGAATCAGTGAATATTGTAGAGTTAGTGAGGTCATAAAGTTGCAATAAAAGAAGTGCGTATTTATTATTTTAGTGATTGACCTTAATTCACTCCTGCAGCAGAAATCACTGTAGCATTACAGTTCAAATTAGATTTATCTAACCAGTATTTATTATTTACATTTAATAAAAAATGCTTTATGCGTGTATGGCTCCTTTCATTTTTTAATATTTACTTTTATACAATAAAAGCAGCTGAACAAGTGGAACCTTTTTGTTTCACATTACGTTCTCCGCCACAAACAGGGCAACATTATTCTGCCAGACAGACACATAGACACTCGCCAATAAATATAGATTTTTCCAAAACGCTCATCCAGGTTACGACTCCTCAGCCCTTACAGAAACACTGCCATTAAAATATAATGTGAGCGTGTGTGCGTGTGTATATACGTGTGTGCGTGTGTATATACGTGTGTGTGTGTGTGTGTGTGTATACTTACTGGCTGCCGGGTCTGCGGAGGCGCTCTGTGACGCGTCGCCAGAGGAAACCACGGCGACGCTGTCGATGGGCGTCCCACCAGACACAGAAGCAGCAGTGGCTGCTGGGACGGCGGTGGAAGCACCCGGAGACGGTGCTGCGCCCGCTTTCTTAGGTGCAACGACGACACTTCTGTGTGGAGAAGAGAGGGTTTTTAATATTTTGTATTTAGCGGTTGTGTGCAAAAGGGGGAAAGTGCCGGCTCACAGCTCGCCGAATGGGACTTTGATGTAACCGCCGTGAGCGGAACAAAACCAGCCATGTCACAAATCCATTACACCAGAAGACTCATCACTGGACTAATTACTGCACATACGATTGTTTACTTGGTTGTACCCAAAAGAACTAAACCGGCCTGTCAAGAAAAATGTATTTCGCCAGTGTGTAGTGTGTAGGGCTTTGTGTGTGTATGTACAAACAACCTAAACTAAAATGTTTGGCAATCGAATGTAATCCTTCTGTAGAAAAAAGTATGCCCGTCATTATTTACCACGAGCGCCTGGATTATGAGGTTTTGTTTTTCCCATAACGACGCAGCACGAGTGGAGCTAAATCCGCAAACAGCGAACAGCAGATGGGAGGAGAGCGGCATGCAGATAAGCTGTCAGTTCAGAGCGTAGGGCTCTGACAGACCACTGGCCGTATCAAAGAGCGCCTGGCCCTGCTTATCAGTGCTGACACAAGGGAAGCAGGGTCTAATCACTGGCTACTGCTCCCCCTCAGAAACACAGACCGATGCAGGCTTCAATAACGGCGGCCCGGCGGGAGACAACAGCGAGCATGCGTGCATTCCTGCAGATGTCCGCGGTTAGTGTTTACGCGCACACGGGAGGGCGGTTGGCGGTGGCTCCCCGTGGTGCGGACAGATACCTGGCTGCAGTATCAAACGCTGTTCTCACTTGATTTAGGGCAGGTGATCAGATATAACAAAAGTTGCTGTGAAGCCCTGACAGCTGAACTCTGCTTCAAGTGATCTATGATTTAAGAATAATACAGCTGGCAAAGAAGGCCGGAGGATTCAGAGCTGAGGGTTTAAAAACAAAAAACGGAAAAGGGACGGCCGGGAGCGACGGAGGAGATAAAGAGTTTCTGGTTACTTGCTCGCTGCCCTGATAGAGAGCGGGCTGGATGTTGGTATCAGGGAACAAGGGCGGCGCTGACGTGAAGCACCCCAAGTGTCAACAGCCGGGGAGGGAGACAGCGGCCCCCCTGCTGTGTGCAGGGAGGGTGTGTATCAACCGGTCCAATATATTTGAATATATGCATATGGCTGTGCAAATAAGTGCACAAGTGTGCACGCGGGTCTGCCGGGGAACATCCCTCCACGTACGTGTTCGGCCTTCCATCTGCTCGGCAAAGGCCCAGTGAATTATTCAGCAGGTCATTAGCCACACTTATCATGAGTGGGTCGCCCCAGTCGATTAATCAGCCGTCAGCGGCCCCACTCAACCCACAAACAGGAGCCCAGGGCAGCGAGTGTCTGCGCCTGTGTGTGTACCGAGGCTGCATTATTTAAAGGCTTTAACGTACGCTGGATAAGTGCAGTAAACACTGTGATTCCAGTAATCTGTGCTATTTCAGGTAAAACAAGTGCGAGAATCGGTAAGGAAGCATAGCTGGTGTGTATCTGTGTGTGTCTTAAAATACCATTCCCTAGTCTAGGGTGTAGACGAGTGTGTATCCATGAGCATATTAATGTTCGAACTTTTATCTCTTAAAATTCCCACCAAAACATTTGCATGTTCACGCATTCAAATCGTGACATCCCAGGCTGTGATTGGATGATGATGGCTGGTGTGGGAGGGGCATTAACTTGACGACATGAGTGATTAATGAGTGGAGCAACTGGGAGCCGATCGTATGAGAAAAGCAGAATCTCAACGTTTTTTGTGCGATGTAAAGATTCTGTGTGTATTTCTTGTGATTCTGACAAACAAATAATTTCCAAAAGGGAATGTGGTACAGGGTCAAATATCCAATAATGTACATGTGATAAAGAATGCTGATATATCAGCTGGGCTCTACCAACGTATCAACATCACTTGTTGGATATGTAAATTACTTGTTTGCATTTTGAGTGTACAACCATTTTTCTTCTCAGCTCTACTTTAGGTGTTGTCGGCCCTTCTACAACACTGGTGTCCACTCCCGCTCGCTTACCCTGAAAAAGGATTGCGGTAAAAAAAATAATTGGCTCAGGTAATATGTAGCTATTGGATTTTCTTCTTCTCAAAAATCAATATTTCAAACAGCAACCTGCCAAACAGATTGATTAGGCTTCAAAGGAAGTGTCAAAATCTAGAAGTAGTGAAATGTCTTTAAGCAACCTATAAATCTTCTATAGATTACTTTAATTAATTGTCGCTAGTAAGTTTGTTTCAGTTGTATCAGGAAAAATTAAATTGCAGAACAAAAAAATAGGTGAGATTCTGAGGTTGAAAACAAAGCAAAACAGCTTTCACTCTTTCAGTTGCGTTTGTGTCCTGCATGCTTACGCTCATCCCTAAGCGGTACATTAACAACACTTCAGCGTCAACACGACTCATCTGCCCGTTCGACTCTCACATGCATGCAGGAATGCAAACAATCGCTCCATGTATATCCCCACGTCCAACACTCGCGTCTTCGGCTCAACCATGAAGGCTAAATCATCGGCTCGTACAATGACACTGTTTAGTTCTGGTTTGTGTCAGCAAATATTTGCAGACTGGCTGTCATAACAGGGGCATGGCTGAGAAATGGATGGGAGAAACCCAGCAGGTCTCCACTTGTAAATAAATCAGTAAGGATACTTCACCCCCCCCACCCCCCCCCAGGTTTCATCTGGGAGATCCCAGCTCCTTTCATACATTGACCTCGTAAATCCTTCGCTCTGGGCAAGTGTAAAGTTTGCCACGCTCAGGCAGGGAGACGTCGGCGCGGAATATCAGCCATAGCTTGTACTGGTGTCAGTGGGAGGCTTACTGGTTGGTGGGAGATGCTGAGCAGTGATAGAGTCATTACGACAAGATAATAAACACAGAGCATGTCTGCATGTGTGGTAAGTAGAAATGGTCAGGGCAAAGACTAGAGACAGCGGGCTGATAAAGGGCGGCTACCTCAGGAGATAACGAAATAAATAAATGAATAATAAATGCATACGTTACAAACTGACTAGTCAATACATTTAGTTATGATTATTAACTTTCATTAAAAAAAACACCATATAGTCGCTGGTTGAGAATATTGAAATGTGAATGTGCAGATCTCAGATTTTATAGATCGGAAATAGATCATCTAGATTTTTCTCATGTAATCCCCTATAAAAGAGAAACTTCTGATGAATTAACCTCCTCACAGGTTTTCTGTGTATCCAAAGTCTCATAAATCCATAAGGCAATAATCAAAATAATTCAGTACGTTTCTGACCCCTTTTTTAAAGATTTTTCATGCCAAGTAGGAACCAATGAGGTTGGGCAAAAAGTCGGAGGAAATTAAAAAAGAAATATACTGTTGGTTTTGCTGTATTTAAGGAAATGAACAGAACATTTATTTTTCGCTACCTTATGCTTTACCTTAACACTAATTAGTTACAGGCCCGCTCTGCGTTCATGCGTCGACACGCTCTATCCTGTCTTAAAAAGTCAGCCTGGGCCGTCTACCCGGCATGAAGAGGCTCCCATCGGCAACGAGCGAGCTGTTACTCTATGTTCTCCAGCTCTCCCGACGTCCTCTCTTCCTACTGAGTGTGCTCAGCGGACAGGAGCCAGTCTAATCCCCCAGATATGAGGAGCGCCCTGAGACCTGACAAAGCATTCCTCAGATAAAGACACGCGATCACAGAGATGCCGTGGAATTCCCACAGTTGGGGGTCAGCGGACTGAGTGTGTTTGTGAGAGAGAGAGCGACGGAGAAATGTTTTCTTCAGTACATGAGAACCTTGACTTGACATCACCCCCACAGAGACTTTTCTCCCCCCTCCTCCACGCATCTCTCTCCGTCTCCGCCTCCCCCCCTGCCGTTTTTGGATGTCTGTCTCGGAATCAACGCTCCAAATGCAAACCAGACCACTGACCGTCTTCTCTCACCTGGGCCCGTCTGTGGCTCCTGTACCAGGCTCCGCTTTTGAAGCCCTTGCCCCGGGTCTGTTTACCAGTGCACCTCCGGGGGTGACGCAAATGACGCATTTATGCCAGAGACGGGACAACGGTTCACATGTTAGACAGGGGGAGACGAGCAGCCGGAGAGATGAAAAAGAAAGTCGTTAAATATCAGTGACAGGGTGAAAAGAAGCAGCTTCCTGCCAGCTTCGTTCCTCCGTCTCTTCATTCCAGACAGGCCTCCCGTTTTCCACAAGACAGTCTCTTTGTACGGCAGTTAGCTTGAGATGAGCACCTACATCAACAGCTAAAAGAAACAACAATGGGAGTAAGGAGGAAAGTCGGGGACTAAGATTCCCCTCCGGTTCAAAGGGGTTTCTGTTACAGAATGTTTTTTCATGATCCACCTCCTCTGAGGGTACCAAGCTGAGATGTCTTCAAGGGCTGACTTTCAAAAGTCCCCTGTAGCTATGTTGGGATAAACGGTAGGAAACTGTCAACGTTGAAGCTTGAGGATCACGTGTGTAGTTGCACCATATGGGCTCTTGGGAAACTGACAAAGCTGTCAGGTTTGCACCGGAGGAAACTGTGCCCCAGATCTCTTTCCCACAATCCCCGATGCGCACGGGCAGAAAAATAGGATTCTTGGAGAATGGTATGCTAGTGAATGTGACATGTCTGAACGGGAGCCCTCACCGATCAAAGGAGCGGAACCGTTGTGCCGATTCTCTGGCCGCGTCGCCGACACCTCCCAGAAACGCTGGCTGCAGCAGACCCGGATCCACCGCGGCGTCGGGCAGAGCGCTCACCAGGCTGCGCAGGATGTCCTTCACATTCTTGCCCTTTGAATCGGCGGGCAGCGACGGTCTGACCTCGGAAGACAGCGTGGACAGAGCCTCTGAAATGGCGTCCGGGCCGTGGGTCGCGCCGGAGGAGGACAGGTCCGCCTCGCTCGCGGCGGTCGAGGTGTGGTCGTCGCCGATGCCGGAATCATACCGACGGAGGGAGACGCCGTTCTCCACTTCTAGCCCGCCAGAAACGGCACCGCTATCTATGAAAACACAAGCGAGAAGGAGGAGATGTGAGCAATAAGGCAACGTCGTCGGAGGGTTTAACTGTAGTGGTTCCCAATCTTCTAGTTTGGTCAAGATGTGAATATCAGGGAAAACATTTCTCTTATTCTACTGTTTATTAATGTAAAACAAGGGTTCGTAAGTACTTGAGACAAAACTTTATAGAAATAAAACATTACAGCATCATCTACCAATAAAGATAAACACTTCAGATTTGTTTCCTTTGGAGCCGCCGTGTACCTGTGCTCCTGGCCGACTGGGATCGCTGAGGGCGCCGCTTGTCGTTGTGAGGCTCCAGGATGTCGCGGTACTTTGACACCATGAGGACCGAGATGAAGTAGACGACAGCGAGCGCCAGAAACTGGGCCTGCTTACTGTCCTCCTGAAACAAAACAAAATACACTAAACGATCTGTGTCGTCTGCTAAAAAAAAAAAAGCCGCCGCGCGTGCTTTCTGAACGACTCACGATATCTCTGAAGACGACAGCCCTGAGGCGGTTGATGTCCATCTCCTGTAGAAGCCGGTCCAGCTCCGTGACAGGAGACACTCCGCCGGTCACGGCATCAACAGGGCTCTGCGTGCGTGCATGAGAAACGAAACCATTAGCCAGGAAATCAATCATAATCTCAAAGCTAAGTGCGAGCAGCACATGCACGTTCACACCCATTCGGGATGTTTATTAATCCACGTGCACTTCATGAGGCAGGGTAAGGTTTCGCAGTTGAGGGGAGCCGTCCCCTCCTGGGATCATGTCCTTAACATAATGGCCTTTCTGTAGAGCCACTGCATTATAAATGAGCTTTAACACCCGGTTCAGGGAAGAGCAACAGGACTTTACTGGAAGTCTCTGTATCAAATCAAAGGGCCGATGACCAAAGGCCTCGTCTGGTGTCAGAAATAGCAACAAGTTTGGTAATTCAATAGTATATGAGCGAATGCATTTGCACTTGGTTGTTGTTGCAGAGCAGGACAACGGACAAACAATCCTTCTGGTTTACTATTGATTATAGGAAGAGGGCAAAGGAAGCTATTTTAGAGTGTAAAAAAAAAAAAAAGTCCAGTAGACAGTAAATGATGATGTTGTGTTTTAAGGGAAACGATTGCACTCATCCAATAACAAGCCGTGAACACAATGTGCTAAGATAATGGGGTGAGTGGTTGATGGTTTGGTTACTCGCCTGCGCTGCGGCAGACATGGAAGGTCCAGTCGCAGCGCCGGGCGCGGCCGCGTGGCCACATGCAGGCGCCTCGGCGCCCTGCTGGGACTGCGCTTGCTGACACTCCAGGCAGTTTCTCACTGCCATTGCGCACACTGAGGAGAGATGCAGAAAGAGATATTACGGGATAGCATATAAATAAAGTGATTTTCAGAGTGATATGTGGAGGGATATATCCGGAGAAAACAACAACAGGAGCAGCGGAGAGATTTAAAAAAAGAAAGAAAAAGGAGAGAAGGTGGGGCCACTACAAGGTCAGTGCTCTGGCCAACTCTGGCAGCATCGTTCACTCTTCCCTGCTCCACCTCTCCTCCCAAGGTCACAGTGCAGGGGTGTGCTCTTGAATCACATCCACTGTGTGCAGGTCCCATAACAAATGACACTGCTGCGAGGGCGTGCACATGCTGACGAGGCGGCAAAACAGGATGCGATGTCGCAAAAAAACACATCTCGTGGTCGGACAACTTTATGCGGGTTCACAACTAGCACGTTTACCATTTGCAATCTAATGTGCCGCTCTCTCTGCTGGAGCCCCTCCCAGCCCCCGCCATTCTGTACTTGACAACTGACAAATGTTAACTCTGAGCCATTTAGATTACCAAGGAGGAAATTATTCCGTCTGGAAATGGGCTCGCTTTTTCCATTAGGACTACTCTTTCATACAACCATTCGTAAGGGGAGGCTGGAGGGGGGGGTGGAGATGCTAAAACCTTGTTAGTCCCCCAAAATCAGATTAGGTGCCAGCAATGGGGAGCGCATACCTCATCAAATATTCATTTCATAACGGCTGCTTTCTAAAACTGAACCTGTAGTACGTTGGCATCACTTTCCAGGAACCCCCCACCCCTCCCCAACAGCTCCAACGATAGCTGGATCTTTTCCGAGCTGAGTGGGGCTCTTTGTAAAAAAACAGTTTGAATTTTTAAAAGCCTTTTTGTTTGTATGCTTCACTTTAACACAAATCTAAAAGTAAAACGGCTTTGCCACACATTATGCACCATTACGTATGTTGAACAAAGCACAAAGAAATGATTGAAATCAGTGAAGAAAGCATTGCAACACTTCTGAGTCGTGTGTGTGTGTGTGTTCATGTGATGAACTGTGTTTGCTGAAAAGGTGCACCGCGTGAAATGAATAATGTAAGAATTGCAATATATTTTATTCAACTAGAGCGTGGCTTGGCTTCTGATGCTGTCAGAGGAAACTGTAATAGCCTGGGACAGAAGGCAGAAAAAGGCCTCGGGCTGCGCTGCAGCACACTGCAGCCAAGGCCATTATGTAGAACTCTACTATATCACGATAGCAGCCATTTTAGAGTGTTGCCATGCAGTGGGGTTATAATAACAAGATAAGAGAGCGCTGATACGAGCAGAGTGAAGGAGGGGAGGGAAGGAGAGCGGCGGCTGGAGACAGAGAGGAAGAGGAGAAAGACAATACAGGGAGGTTCAAAAGGGCTACAGGGAGCCATGACTGAGGCGAATACAAGAAGCTACTGCCGGCTGGCATGAGGCGGATCGATGAACGGGGAGGACAGAGGGCTCGGTAAAAGGGGAGATAGAAGACGGAAAATTCTGATGAAAGAAAAAGAAATAAATAAACAGGACAAGGATAAGATTGCATGAGCCTATTAAAATAAAACAAAAAAATAAAGTGAGTGACGAGAAAAAAAAGGGACAATGCAAAGACATCAGTGTGCGTACCGAGGCGGAGGCACTGTCTGAGGATGCCCCCCGAAGACATGTTTTTCTCAGCTTCGATCTCGGTGAAGTTGAGGGAGCTGGCGAAGATGAGAACGTCCACCAGGTTGATGAGGCGCTGTAAGAAGGTGACGGAAGCCTCCACCGACAAGCCTTGGGATGGTTCGATGTTCTCCAGCTCATGCTGGTAGGAGGAGGAGGAGCATTCACAAGGAAATTAACAGATGAGTAAAAAAAAAAAAGAATTAAAAAAAAGTGTTCTCTTTACTCAAATGTTCATTTAGTATGCAGGTTGATTTCAAAAGTATTTAATTAAAAATATGTATTTTTTTTATCTTTGATTATAAAGAAAATTGTAAAAAACAAATTAATGTTCTAAATAACACATTCTGAAATAAAAACCTTTAAAAATATAATTTGTTAGAGGCAGTCTTTATTTTGTTCTAAGAAATTGAATGATTTTGAGCTTCAACCCGTTTCTTTCAACCGGGAAACAAAGCCATCGAGGCAAAGAATCATGGAAGAGAAGCACTGAGATGAGACAACACAAAAACAGACTAACAATGTTAGGAGGCAGCCAACTGTGGGCTAATGTGGTTGGAAAAGGTCAATGTGGATGGATAACTTCCTGCGACTGAAGCCACCAACATACACACCGACGTGGTTAAACACGCACACGCACAGAGACTCACAGAGGAAGAGGTGGCGGCAGAGAGCAGAGGTAAAATGCCTCCACAAGCCATGATGAGGTTGTCCACCACCTGGGAGATGAGGTGAATGCTGTTGTGGACAAACACAACGTTCTCGCTGCTGTTCACAAAGTCCAGAACCGTCTTTGTGGAGTGACTGAGAGGGAGACAACAGAGGGATCGCGTTGATAACAACACACAAAGTAGAATATGGACCAAGTAGAAGAAACACAAACGCTTTGATTTTTTGGTCAAGTAGATTTAAACATAGTTGAAAATTGCTTTGTTGTATTGATAAATGAAACAAACATAGCAAAATAAATTCAAATAAAAGCAAGAACTAAAAACATCCAGAATATATAAAATAGAAGAAAATAGTTAAATATAAGTGTTATCATAGGATTTGTCTCTACACGAGGGCTTGCCAACATATCAGATTGTTCTTAAGGTTAAATGGTAATATTCAGGGTAAAAATATGCTACATTTCACATGTTTATTGGAAACATCTGTGCTTTAGTCTACACCACATGAATGTCCTCAATGCGACATGCATTTCAAAGGATCCCTAGAGACTTCCTCTTCAGTTTGTGGGAAAGTGGAAAAGTATATATTTGTCTGTAAGAAATATAAATATGCATAAAGACATTCTTGAAATTCCTGAAGTAAATGCCAAACAATTTACATTGAGATGATAATATCGGGAGTGAAATTTCCATAGTAACACCACAAAAGATTCTTTCAGGCACCACTTGCTTATTAGAAGGCTTGTGAGATGGGATCTCCTGTCTGCTCATCAGAGGCACCCAATGCCAATAAATCTATATTCCATTAATCAATTAGGAAAACAAGCGTAGGCTAAAGCATCAGCAAAGTCAGCGTCGGTGTCAGCGGATCGTTACCCTACCTCCTCCACATCTGGACATCTGTCTCAATAGAGAAGAGCAGGTCAGCGAGGAGCCGTTGGTGCATGTGGGACCAGCGGAACTCTGGGATGCGAAACATTGTGGAGCGGGGGGCCGACGTGCTGCTGCCCTCTCTCTGCTGACCTGAAGACCCTCCTGCTGCTGCTGCTTGCTGGTCTTGGCCTGTTTCCTTCAGAGAGGCACCACACAATTAGCGTTAACATGAGTAACTGAAACTGATCAGTTCTAAAGAACATAATTTATGGATCAGAAGTAGAGAGACAGACTCTTACTGTTGTGGAGGCCTCCTTTAATTCAAGTCTCTCCGTGTCTAAGGCCACGTTGGACACATCTAGTCGGGCGATTTTGATCTCTTTGGTCTTGCTGACGGGGTCTGCACTCTTGGTCCCGGAGGTGGAGGCAGCGGTGGAGCCGTCCGTGGGAGGGGGCAGAGTGTCCTCCTTAGGGGTGTTTGTGGTCTCTGGATGCTGGCTGGGTGAGGTGCGGTCCGGTGTGGCGTCGGAGGAGGAAGCCTCTTGGGCTGGTTCTGTCAAACTGTGTCCCGTTGGAGGAGTCGGACTCTCCTGTTCCTCTGCAGTTTCTTGTGTTCCAACCTCCTGCTTCTCATCGTTTTCCTCCGCCGTCTTCGTCTCGAGACCTTGATCTTCTTCATCACCCTCTTCCTCTCCTACGTCCCTTTCCTCTCCGGCTGCAGCGGAGGCGTAAGAAGACTCCCCTTGGCTGTCCTCGGCGTCACTGGTGTGGACGTGGTCGCTGACTGTGGACACAGTAGCAGCATCAGAGGACGTCTGGTCAACCTCGCCTTGTTCCGGGACCGACGGCGGTTCAATCTCCGCTTCGTTCAAAGAGCTCGATGACTCACCCCCGATAGGTTCAGATCTTCCGTCATCTTTTACGGGCGTTTCGTTGGCCTCAGATGTTGCGTCTGAGTCTCTGACCTCCTCCGTTGCTTTGGAGTCATCCGCTGGGGCCTGGCTGCTAACTGAGGTTTGTCTACCGTCCGTGTTCTCGTCAGTGGAAGCCGCCGTCGCCGGTTCCTGCTGGTCGGTCTCTTCACTCTGTTCCTTCACGTCGTCTTTCTGTGGGACAGCAGCTTCAGTCTCTCTTCCATCGTCGCCCAAGTCGTTCTTGGGAGTCTCCTGAACCAACTTCTGCTCTTCTTCTTCCTCCGCGCCGGCCAGGATGTTGCCCATGGCGATGGGTGCGTGTTCCCTCCCCCCGGCAGCCTGCGGCGGGCTGGAGGCGGCGGTGGAGCTGGGTGCAGAGTCATGGGACTTGTGGCTCAGCTCGTCCACCGTGAGCTCGATGACGGTGGAGGGGGCCGCCTCCTCGGCGGGGGGCCCGTTGGTCTCCGAGCTGTCGCTGACTCCGGAGATGGTGCGCAGGGTGCTCACAGAGCCCGCGGACTCCTGACTCTGGTACTGCCGAAACATACGGGACAGATTCTCCTTGTGCTGCTCGAAGGTGACCTGCAAACAGAAAAAGACGATGGGTTCAGATTTTTTTAATCATCTTGACAAGAATCTACTCTTAGATCAGGAGGAAAATCCAGATTCATTATAACTCAGGTCTTACGTTTGTATTCTGGCCGCCATTTGAATGGCTTACGACACCACATTTAAGTAAACAAAATAAAAGCGAAAGCATAAGAAAGGTCATTAATTGTCAAAACTACGTGCTCAACTACAACCACTACAGAAGGCGCTCGTTTAAACAGCTTGTGTTTTTTCAAAATGCCCTTTAGTTATGAGCCTCAAACCACTGGGACCCTTTGTGGTGAAAATGTGCCATATTTAAGACTTTTGCCTCTGTCCTGCGTTGCGTTGCCCACGGCCTATTAACCCCCATCAGTCTTCTTACATCTGATATGGGGAGACTAGTCCATATCGACGACGGTCTGCAGTGGCATTTTAGGAAGAGCCCATCCATGTAAGCAGTCATAGATTAGCAGTAGATACTATTAGTGTGTGTCTGCGAGCTGTGCTGAGTGCGTGTCCGGCATCGGCAAATCCTCCCACGCCTAATTTAAGACCCCGCATTAATCACTGGGCTCGGAAGACAGAAAGTCAAAGATGGGTTGTTGGTGGAAAAGAGGGGGGGGGGGGGAGGGGGGGTTGAACTAGAACCCACTTCTTCACCTGAGGCTATTTGGACAGTAGGAGCGAGGGAGAGAGAAAAAGAAAACGCCAGGGATCAAAAGGAAGAGGAAGAATAAATAAGAGATGGCCGAGGAGGAGGAATAGTGAGTCAGAGGGGAAGAAAGGGAAGGGAGAGAAAGAAGCTGATTATTTGTAATTAATTAGGCGTTATTGTTCTAAATTAGCCTGCTACAAGGGTGCTCATTAATCTTGTGTAGTGGGAGGCAGTGATTGGTAATCCATAGCTGCTTTCAGGGTGCACAGCCTGTTCTAAATGCGCCAGTAGTCCGTCTCGTCCGCTCTGCCTCCCTCCTTCCCAGTGATCACACAGCAAGACCTTCTACCCCATTAGTTTGAGCTTAATTTGACATTTAGCATTTTGGCAATTAAAAGGCTGCATTCAGAGGCTGCTGCTGCTGCTGTGGAGATTAGGCGGGAGAGCGGTGCAGAAGCATGCCGTCATAGAGCCAGGATGCAGTCTGTGCATTAAGATGATGTATGTTGGCCTTAAATGGGGCTCTGTAACCGATCCAGTTACCATTAGACAGAGGCAGTATGCGTCTCTGTGGTTTTTAAAAGAGCGGTTAGCCTTTTCTACAATATGTAGAAACTGCCTTGGGTGGCTAAAACATCAGCGCTGATCTAATCTAATTTCTTTCTACTCCGTGACTGGGCCTGGCCTCAGTGGGGTATGGGAAAATGTTATGGTAATGTACAAAAACATGGTGGGCTCCTCTAATGTGACAGGTAACATGGTATTAACTGGGCATGGCGCGGCCGGATCAGACAGAAGACTCGACGGAACACATCGTCATCATCGTGGTTTCTCTGGTTTCACGTTTCACACGATTAAAAAAAAAATAAGATTAAAAAAATATATGTATGCATGTTTTGGTCCTTCAAAGAGCAGCTACGATCACATTTACACAACAAATCCGAACAGAGCTGAGACCTGTATAACTGATCTGGAATAAGCACGAGGGCCCCGCGCCACAACCTGCCTGCTGAGGGTCGGCGTGGCTGAGCGCTGATCTCGGGAGACCCCCGCAGTCGGAGCCCCGGAGTCCCCATTTAGATAAATAGATAGGGAGCAACCACAAAACAAAGGGGCAACGGGGAGGGCAGCACGGCTCTAATCCGATTAGCTAAATGCAATTCCTCCTCCAAAATCAATGTCGTCTGCTGCTGCGATGCTGGCTGGGTGGTTTTCGCTGTGGCTCAGAATACTTTCCTTTCTCACTCGGTGTAGAAAAATATTTTACTTTTGGGTTTTCTATAATCTGATCCACTGATGTGAAAACAGACTTTATTCAGACTTTCTATCACAACAATACAAAGACAAGACTGCACTAAAGCTCATCCAGGATACTGTACAGTAATAGTTTTAATAAAAGAAGCCGATTGTTTTACTTTGAGATGAACATGTTGTTAGATCAAAGATAAAGGAACAAATTGATGTACTGGGGATTGGCTACTGGATAGTATAGACAACTCTTGATGCATGGCTATTATCTGGAATTGGCTTTTCATTCTCATTCTCTCCTTCCTTTGTCCACTTTGTCAATGCGTCTCTGTGAAACTCTTCCCCAAGAACCACAGCCTGAGTGGAATGTCTCAATAACCACACGGGGCGAAAGCATCCACACATCAACAGAAAAAACAGCAATTAGCTCCTTTTAAAGCAAACTATGTTGGCTCATTTCAGCTCATATTTACTTTTGAGGTGAAATAACTGGCAGGTTTAACAAGCCGACCGTGAGATTCGGAAGGACGGAGGAACCTTCACGCTCCGATCTCTTTCTTTTGGAGATCTCCTCGCTCTCAAAGCGATTTGTGTGCAGAGATGGACGAGGGGCACCTTGGGTGGGTGTGTGTGCGCCGAGGGGGGGAGGGCTGTTGTGTCAGCGCGCACACCTGCAGGAACATCTGTCTATCCAGAGGGACGCTTATGCAGATATACTTGCCTTGTAATGACTGACATAGAAGGATTTACACACGCACACTGTATTTTTTCATATTTTTACACTAATCCTCAACAACCAGGTTCTTAGTACCACTCGTTGGTCTATGTTTTAAATAAAATACATAAGAGCCAACTGGATTCAATCCCAATGCACAAATCAAACCTCTCCAGTTTCCACACAGGCTAAAATAACTATTTGTACACCTACAAATTGCTATGACTGTACAAAAACACAGCAGAACAGGAAAGAAATACAGTTCTTATGGTCCCAGTTCACTGTTGCACACAACATATTTCCAGGTGGCATAAAATTGTTCCACTGTCAAGGCATTGTACGGGATGAAAGGTGTGCCTAAATACAAATAAAAAAAAACTATAAAAAGGCACGAACTCCCACCAACGGAGGTTTACATTTCCATAATTCCCATCAAGTTAAAAATAATGGTTGTATCTGCCACACGACTCGGGGAAACTGGCAAACAAACCAAACCTCATTACCTCCTTAATAACGCAATAATAGGAAATGCAGTACAAAGATACAAAGATAGCCTCCAACAGTGAGGTGCAGCACATTATCGCTACACATGTCAAACAGAGCTTTACCACATTGGACACGAGGCAAACTAATTCACAAAGTCTAGTAGAGGAGAAGTGGGGAAATATGCATTTGTGAATGCATATATGCGCTTATCAAGAGGCTCCCAGTGGGCTGGTTGTGTTTATGAGGCCTTGTTTCTCTGATTGTTCTCGCACGGTTCCGATGAATATTCAATGGGCTCGCAAAGGAGGGCTTCCTCGAGCCCAAGAGAATAGGAGGGCGAAGGGAAAATGTGCCTTGTAACTCATATTCACACACACACACACACACACACACACACACAGGCGCGCAATCATGGGCGCACACACACAGCCCTGAAGCAGTGGGAGGAGAGAGCAACAGTGACAAACAGCTTTGGTGCTACAAAGGTGGCAGGAAATCTATCACACGGGACAATAAAATTGCAATTGAGTTTCTTTAGCTTTTTTTATAGCAGATGCATGTATCTTGGTGGCTGGCTCCCGCCGCAGCGATCAGAGTCCCAGGCGGGGGCCCTGCACTGCACTGAGCCTGCGTTTGTGTATCTTACATTGTGCAGGAGCAAAGGGTTTACTCACAAAACACTGAAAAGTGTGAACCTCGGTTGTCGGAAGAGTGCGAGGCATTGTAACTAGAGCCTAAAGGAAAGATCATTAATCTTGTGTGATTATAGGGAGAACGGGGGCAATTATATCACGTTGTGCACAAAGAACAATAAGCAATTTATGCACAACAACAAACTGCTACGTTGCAAAGTGAGACACCAACACCCTGAAGCCAGATGAACAAATGAAACTGGAACAACCTGGGGTGAGGCAAAATCCTTATTTGTAAAAAATAATAATACGGTACTTAAAAATACTCATATCAAAGAATGATATTCAATTAACACCAATATTAGTTATGAATCAATCTTCTGTTGCTTTCCACGATGCAACTTAAGACACATATTAAACATAAAGATGGGGAAAATGCTTAACTCCACCTCAATGTGCCCCCATCTCTCTGACCCATGAAAACACAGCACTTGACTGCCAATGTGTTTCATTGTCATTGCCGCCTCGTCCCACAGTGTTCAGGGGCGTGAGGAGACATTGGGCGTCCAGGCCGTCACGCGGGCAGTCTGCCTGTGCCCCCTGCTGGACGCCGACGCACACAGCGCGCTGCGGCGGAGCGTCTCAAATCACAAGTACGTACTTAACTCAGCCTTCAATCTGACAATCTTTGGTAGGAAGGGAAAAAAAAAAAGGAACCACACCACAATCTGACACCAACCTCAATTACTGCACGGCTTTGGGAAGAGAGTAGCGTAATACGATATCAACAGGGAATTTCTTAAGCAGTATTTAGAATTCGGCTTTTGGAAACAAGAAGTGCCAGAAGTTTATTTTTTATCTGTGCGACGTGAAAGAGAGAGACTCTCTATATAAATAAAGAGTGCACTCATTGTGCTGGTGGACTCATTTCCATTGGTTTACACTGCACCTAGCTTTTAAATTCTAATCACCGCGCAGTTCCACAGCTTAATCCGATGGGCACCGAGAGGCCAGGTCCAATTACCACGCTACAATGCGAGCCTACGCTGCGCGCTGGAGGGTCAGACGATAATGCTCTCTAATTTATTATTTGATGAATCAAACTATGTCGGATTCAAGCTAAACATACGACGGCTGCTGTCCGACCGGCTGCAATCAAACTGAGGAGGGCGGCTACGGTTACAGTGACGTGGTGGAGGCTTAGGGTGAAAATACTCAAGCAAGATGTGAGTGTGCAAGTGTGTGTGTGTGTGTGTTCACTGGAGAGATAAAGAGCATGTGAGTTAAAACAAAGAGAACCTAAACTAAAAAATTATGGGGAGATAGAAGAAGATCCACAGAGGAGGATAAACAAAGCTGTGTCTGATCCGTGTGTGCACACGTGTGTGTGTGTGTGTGTGTGTGTGTATATATAGGACGTGTGGCTATAATGAGTGCTCTGACCTTGGAGTGGGTGATGGACAGGGTGTCCACCCAGACCCGCCAGCCGCCCCACTCGTACTTGATGGCGTGGTAGAGCAGGATGCGGAAGATGGCGTACACCATCTCTGTGATTTTCTGCTCCTCGCTGTTTTGAGGGCTGATGAAGCACAGAGAGAGCATCCACTCCTGCCACACCGAGCACTGCAGCAGGCTCCTGGAAACAAAAAAAGGGGGACGGGCAATGTGTGGCGCGGACCGGGGAGGGTTGTGGTTCTCCGACCCGCGAGGTGGAGGGGTTCTTACCTGCGGTTCTCTCTGCTGTTATTGAACAGTTTGATCATGTCGGACAGGAAGACTTTGCGCACCTCCATGCTCTCGGGGGAGGAGGGGGAGGTCTTCAGCAGAGCGGCTATTATCTTCAGAATTTCTAGAAAATATTAGAAACATACCAGTCCGTTTAACATTTGTTTGTTTTTTTTACACTAAATGCTGTAATGAAAATATGAAAATAATTCTGTTCAGATCGAATAAAAGCATCAGTGTACAAGTTTTATTTTTAAAGAAAACAATTTAAAACAATTGGTTTCGGGAACAAATCAACAACTAAATGGTACATTGTGTCAGAAACCATCTCCACTACCAGCCGTGCACACCTGAAAAGCTTTGTCTGTGGTAAGAAAAACAACAGCGCAGCATAAAAGAAAGAAAGAAAGAAAGGTCCAGGCCATTGATCTTTATCTTACAGTAATGGTTTTGGTGTCGTTTCAAACAGAGTCGCGGGCCCTACTGGAAGACTCGGCTTCGGTTAAACCGAAGAGACGGACTGTTTGGACGAATTATCTAGACAATGTCAGTGTCCATTTACTTTGAGTGGAGAGACGACGGGGGCTTGGATTTCACTCGTCCTTGGCGCTAACCGATGCCCCTTTGCCCCGACAGACGGTTGTGTTGTTTCTACGCCTTAGTCACTCAAATTATGAGTCGCTGAACCTTTACCGCCAGAAAATTACCCCAGCATGTAGCGGGAATGAGGACGGAGGGATGGCGTATTCCCTTCTTTTTTCCATTTGCTCTTGGTTCCCTTCCCTCGAGTTAATTTGTGGGAAACGGTACTTCCTCGGTTTGTTTGATTGGCTCTGACGTTACTAAAGACTGCAATCAGGGGGCCATTTTGGGAGTTTGTCGCAGATTAAATCAAGGGAATGCACGGCAAAGGAGAAACAGACCGCCGCTCTGTTCCATAGACTGTGCTCGCACGTAGAACCCCATACAAGGTTTCTATGATATACACCGCCTGTCTGGGACGGCTGAGTAGGAGAGTTTTTAACACAACAAAGGCCGAAGATAATCAATGTGTGACTTCAGCAGGACCTTGTCCGATTAAGGCTGGTTGGAAGTAAACCTTGGTTGTGATTATACCGAGTGCTTGGATTTCAAGCTGATTAAAGTTGTGTGTCCAAGAAAAAAGTGCACGTATGCATCGGTAGAAAGGAGAATGGGATACGTTTTCTTTTCTTAGCTGAAATGAATATGAACATTTTAACATAAGAAAAGAGTTGACGTGAAATTGGAGGGAAGTAATGGCCTGTAAATATAAGATGGGAGCAGAGATCAAAGCCTACAGTCACTCTCTCGGCTTATTAAGTTGCCGCATATGAAAAAAGCCCCTTCGACTGTCTCCTAGTAATGATGCACTGCACAAAAAAAGAATTATAAAGCTATGCCATGAAGTCATAAATAACATTACTAAAACTATGTCTAATTACATGTTATGATAGAACAAATATTTAAATATGTCTTATTTAAGTTTTACGGGCAGGTTTCTTTAATTAACTATTAAAATATTACAACTATTAAACAATTCAATATTTTAAGTACATACAAATATTGAATTAATGTATGATTAAAGAAAATGCATTGCAAAGAATAACCTCCAGATTTTATTCAATGCAATTTAATAATTGATTAAATGTATTAAATGCATACCCAAAATATCACACACTGAATAAAACTAGCAGATGTGTATATTTGTCACACAAAGCGCACCAATCCTCATCCTCGGGAAATGCATGACATCAGAGCTTCAGTTGTGTGAAAATACCCTTCTGGCTGCGAAATTGATGTTGTTCATTTGTTTGGCTGTATATAGCGATCGCACAGCTCCATGGGGGATTTCCTCTCGGCGAGCATGGAGCAGTAGGTATGTGGAGGGGAGGCTGAGGGGATGATTTAGGAGAGTAGTGTGGCGCAGAGGAGGCACTTACGTGGGTTGAGAATCTTCACAGTGGAGTCGGGGTCCGGATGTTGTTTATGGATCACTTGAGTGCAGATCTGCTCTGTAAGAATCTAGCGGCAGGGAGGGGGGTTGGTGGAGGGGGGAGAATTCAAGTCATAAACATCCACATGGGCCTCAACAATAACAGAGACACAAACCACACTATGGATGCACAAAGCTTTGTATGTGTTTCAGCATCACATAGTCAACAACCGAATAACATTCAAATTAGGTTTCTGCAGCCGGGCGGCCACAAAATATCCGTTTCAACTCACTAATTAAGCTGTCAGGTTGAATAGTGAAATTTAAAAAAATGAAAAATAAAAAAAGACCATTTGTTCAAAATGTTACACAATACATGGTGGCATGCAGTTGAAGACAGGGTTTTTATTTTTTTTTATTAGTTTTATTATTTCAGCTGTGCGTGCCGAGGCCTGGAGCATTTGATGAAGACTGACCTCGAAGAGCACGTTGTAGGTCGTCATGGTGAACTGGCCCGAGTGGAGCATCAGGCGTTCAGTCAGCAGCGAGAACAGGCCGTGACTCAGCATGACCTCGGGTTTCCTCCTAATCAGGACATTAGGAGGTCCAAGGTAAGTCAGTAAACATGTATGTTTGCGAGAGCACAGCCTTTTTCCCTTAAAATGTAAATTATATTGAAAATGTCACAAGATACCAAACTTTTTTGGTAGAAATTACACAAAACAAATGTGGAGTTTCTGATTAGTCAGATTATTGCAGCGGTTGACATCTGTAGCCGACATGGAAGAATGAAAGAAAAAATCTCTTCTCACTAAGTCAGAGCGGTTCTTCACAGAAAACTCCTTTCATCTCTGGTGAAGATCATAGATCAGCTCTTAATCTTAGCTGCAAATCAGCTGAAAAGCTGTGGACTGTTTGCAGATAGTCTCACTGTCAATCTTGCATCTGGATCGCAAGACTAAAAAACGGATCCCAAGACTGTGCTTGTTTTTTTCTGTTCCTTCGACTTGAGGGTTGTTGGAAAAATAATAATTGGTGGTGGCCATTTTGGCTTTGTCATAGCAAATACTGTAAAGGGGAGAGCTAATGGACGCCTTAAGGCATTAAGCTATGGGCCGGATTCAAACCTGCACTGCTGCAGCTACTAAACTACACACAGGCGATTTCAGTTTGTGGCTGTACTTACTTTGGTGGCAAGTATTTGAGAAAGTAGCCCATCACTTTGAGGGTCTGCACTCTTATTCCTTCACTGTTTGAGGCCAGAAGCTTGTAAATCACACTGTGGAGAAAGAAAATTAAAATACTTTATTTATTTATTGATATGTAGAAATATAGAAGCCAAAAATTGTTTAAATTTATCAGGGTTTTTTTAATTAAAGAATATTAAAGAAAACCATCATTACCGGATCCCATTGCGCTGGTCGAAGGCATGGACCATCGGGCCCGGATGTTCGGACATGAGAGCCACCAACAATTGCAGTACGTCCATGATGTTGTCATCCTGAGCGAGAGAGAAGGGGAGACTTGGGGCATTTGTACTGCAGACGAAGAGCAAAGTTAAAAATACAGCACCTTGTGGAACTCAAGTGAGTGGGCTTTTAAGGGGTTGTCTTTATTTATAGGGGATGGTTATTCAGCTACAAATGTAAATACAAAACAAAAGCTAACAAATGTGCCTCATTCCCTGCATGGCGTCCTCGTGATGTTTAGTGATGTCAGCGGCAGCAACAATGTCCGAAGGAAAGGCCCGGTGGAAACACTGCATTACATCACAAGCATCTGAACTAAAGAATTACAATATGCGCTCTATAAAACGAAGGGCTGCTACATGTCGGTGGCTTTTCCAGGCAACGTTGTAATCACCGCGCATTCGTACACGGTCCACTGCATTGCTGACGGATTCATTTGTTATGCATCACTCCACTGTAAACAAAACCCCTTCTGTCAGGATGTCTAACTGGCAGACTTGGAAAACTAACAAGGAGCACAGAGGCTGCCTCTGGCCGCAGCCATAAGTCTGCTTTTGCTCTGTATTTCGTTGGCCGAGAGGACTCATTGCAGTAGAGTGGGGCTTTGTTGCCATCTGCTGGTCGCTGCTGTATGAACAAGGACGCACATGCCTACCTCATGCATGGTAAGGAGGTAGTTGAGGATACTCTGCAGCTCGTCTTCCTTCACGCCATGATCCTAGAAAAATAATTGCACTGATCACAATTGTCGGTGTTTTACTCCACTATAACAGATAGTACATCGAGACATCGGCGCAACTTCCATCACAGTATTTGTAAATTTGACCGAGATCGTATTTTAGGAGCGACTCAGTGCTTCGCAAAGACAAACAATCCAAACTAATGAGAACATGATGACCAAAGAAGGAAATCCATCCATTGAACATTTCTCTCTAAAATGATGAGATGAAGAATACATACAATAGCACTACACAGAAAAACCTCCTGCCAAAATCAATTATTTAATCCCAACATGATAATAGTTATAAAAATGCCAAGCAGAAATTTAGACTTTCTAAATATTACTTTATTAGTTCAAATTATATTTTGATTGAAATACAATAAGGTACCCTGATGCAATATTAACTGCAGCATTTTATCAATAAAATAGAATGTAATAAAAAATAGTAAATTTTTAAAAATTATTTTTAATAAAAAAAACTTTAATCACCCAGACGATATCTGCATAGCATTTCTGGTTGAATAGGAGTCAACCTACACTTGCTGTTGTTTAAAGCTGCAGCTGTTTTTTCATACATATTGAGTCTTGTTGGTGCTAATGACAAATCAAACTCCATCTCCGCCGTAATCAGAGGACAAAAAGATCAATGGACAAAAATCTGCCACCAATACCATTATTACACATTGTGGGATTCAAATGTGCCAGATTCCTGAAGTGACTCAATAATAGAAGTCTATTTTGGTTGTTTGTGCTGGGTTTTTGGAACGTACCTTCATTATGAGCTGCTTGACAAATAACAACAGAAAGGCTCTCAAAGAAAGGATCTCCCTCTGGTTCGGCCGTGGACCATCTGAAAACCCAAATGGCGAACAATGGCTGTTGAAAGTTGCTGGTTAATGAGCAACGATTCAGGAGGATAAAGCAAGACATCATAAAATGATCAATCTAGGGCTTCTTTTGAAAGCAAAGGGTGTGCGTCCTTAATCATGTACATGTGAAATCTACCGTGGCCTGCATGATCTGTACATGTATTTGAAAGGAAGCCAGAAGTGAGAACACAGAACTGTATTTTATTGCATCAGTGTATATTTTTGCTCACCTAAGCCTTTGGGCACGACTCCACTGCGGTCCTGGGGGTTGACGACCCAGTAGTAGAATTTCATTGTGTGCATGACTTGAAGTACCGTGCCCACCCTGCGAATGGTGTTGTAGATGGTCACCGTGCTGATGAACTCTGTGGCCAAGTAGGTGTAGAGAGTTTGTTGCACCTGCAAAAGATACAAGCTCGTAAGAAAACAGACTCAATAGGCTCAATAGTTCGAGTGGAATCATCGTTTTTTTAGAATGTGATACCCAGAGGGTTCTAGACAAGCCATTCTCATTTAAATAGCAATCACTGGCCTACAGGTCGAGGGAAAACCTTGACATCTGAGAGGAACTCTGAAACACTAAAAATAAAAATGTAGGGCGAGGCCACACAGCGGGAGAGGGTGATGATGACTGTGCCGGTCTGGGTGTTGTAACCAATTTGTGTGTCTGTGTGTGTATGTCCATCCTTACAAATGCAACCAAATGCAGAAGAAGGTGCCGCTGTGTACATGCACACATGTATTCATCTTACCTTGGCAGGGGCATGGATCCAGATGGCGGGGTTGAACAGAATGTGGTCACACAGCTGCTTGAGCAGCAAGATGCCATTCTGCAAGTTGCTAAGGTATCTGGAAAAGGCCAGCACAATGTCCAGGACGGGCCGCGTCACATGGACCTTGGAGGACTGCAGAGGGGGGAGGGGGGGGATGATATGTCAGTTAGGAGTCAAAGACGTAGAGAGCAGAAAGGAGTAAATGAGGTACAACACGAAAAGGGGAGGGAGAGGACACATGCAGAGAAAGCTGAGGAGGAGCTCCTCTTCTGCCTAACAAGCACACGAGCCAGCTGTGACCTCTAAATACAGCTGAGGAAAAACAAGTCCGTCTCATATTAAGCGTTGGTATTGGTGTGCGCCTGTGGCGTTGAGGGAATCCAGATCAGCCTCATTACTGCACTGGGTTCATTACGTGCAGCTACTGGCACTGGAGGGTGGCTCTCTCGTGGATTTCTCTGCCAGCTGAGCCTCTTTGTGTTTCGTCTCACCTTCTCCAGAGTGTAGCCGATGACATGAAAGCCCTTGCAGGCGAGGACCTGCTCTTGCATAGCCACTGAGTTCTTCAAGAGCTCCATCACAAAGGATAGCAGAGTGCAGCTAAGAGGCCAACAGGGAGACAGAGGCAAAAAGAGCGCGAGAGAGAGAGAGAGATTAGACAGTGACAATAATCTATGGGAGCTGCTGACAAAGCCCCGAGTGTGAGGGGCATATCCTGCATGGAACGTGATTGAATGAGGGTGCCGTGTCCAGAATGCGTTAGGACAGATTCTAGTTGGCATCACCTTGAGGGCAGCGTGAACAACAACGTAGCAAATTCATAAGCGAGATGGCCTCACGTCTTTCAAGATCGGCATTATATCAAAATCTGATACTGCTGGACTTGGACAAAGCTCCTCTCGAGGCAAAGAAGACAACATACTAAATATAATAATGTGTTTTGTGTTCCCCCCCGATTAGTATAGTCAAGAAATATTGAAGTGGGAAGTTAGTATATTTAAAATTGACAATTATATATAAAAATTGACAGATTGGGGAAATTCAGGACAAGCCTCAATATTCATACTTCTTTTAATACATCACATTGTTCAATGCACAGTGTAAAATACTGATACATTGAAGGACAAAATAAAAAACATCACACAATGTATTTGAGTGTATTTGTGTGTAGTTACCAGACAGAGGTGTCCAGCTCCTGGCTGGAAGGCTGGCAAAAATCCAGCTGTGCAAACAGAGGGAAGAGCACCTGCACGCCCCCGATTGAGTGTATGCCACTCTGGACTGAGTGAGTCACTACGGCCTTCACATCCTACAGAAACAAACACACCAGTGGGTCCGATGTCCCATGATAACAGTTGCACTAAATTAGTTCCATGTGATGACATATTTGTTTAGTGTTTGCAAGCAGTTGCACAATCAAAATGAAATAAAACAGATTTTTTTTTTACAACGCTGTAGTGTACTTTCTGTCATCACAGGCACAAATTGCAAAGGACTTTACGGATCTTTGACTAAGAGTAAGTACTAAAACCAAACGAGGTCATCAATGTGTGAAAGGGTAAATACAATCCACGACCTCGATACGGTTTGTTTTCATTTGGGGGGAGGATTTTCTTTTCTTTAAATGTTTCTAAAAAGAGTCTGCTGCGTTCGTTGGTGTTGTTTTATGTTGTAACATCAACAGAGGCCGGGCAAAATATCCTCCTCTCTATAGGATTGGAATGTTGGAGCATAGCAGAGCTGAAAATATAGGTCACATATTCATTCATATTTCACACTGTGTGAACTGCGTGTGTGAACTGCGTGTGTGAACTGCGTGTGTGAACTGCGTGTGTGTGTGTGTGTGTGTGTGGAATTGTCCGGCTATCTCTGTGAGGACCAATTTGAGCTTTAAACATTTAGACTGAGGACATTTCTGTAAAAGCGGGGATATTTTGGCCAGTCCTCCCTTTGGAGGCCTTCAAAAGCCTCTTGGAGCGTTTAGACTTTGTTTTAATGTTCGGGTAAGAAAAGGGCTTCGGTTACTGTTAGGGTCCCGCTCTTATTTGTGTGTCTGTTTGCTTGCACGTTTGTGTGGTGGAGAAAGCATATGGTTGTGCGTGGCAGCAAAAGCCCCCACCCCCCATCCAAGGCACACCAATGATGTTCTTTGATGAGAGGGCATGAGAGAAAACGCAATTAGTGCGAAAGGAAAGCAATACTTGTATGTGTGGTGTTGGGACGTGTGTGGCAGCAAATGGAAAATCTCCTCAAAGTTCACCACCTACATCTACCAGGAGAATCGCATGACTAGTTGTAAACTAAATAAACTAAACCCTCTGTCTCCTACTCCCCAGTTAGGATACCTGGAAGGCATTTTTCAGCAGGTAGTGAGTCTAGCTCAGCACTTTTGCACCTCTGCCCTAATGAGACTACCAAAATAAAAAGATGCCAACTGGGCTTCTTTCATTATCACATAGGTGGAAGAACAAAGAGTACATACATATATGAACAATGTGAGGGAAGGAGCAGGCGTACAGGTGGGGAATTCATTTGCACCAACATTGCTTCGCATCATGGTGACTTAAGGTTAATTATTAAAAAATGACAATCAAAGTCATATCTACTCCAACTCCGAGGGGAATGAACTCAACTGCTGTACGGCGAGTGTTGCATCAGGTTGGTATAATTACCTGCAGCATGAGTGCGTGGGGTGAGTGGACGAAAATGGAGGCGTTGTCCTTGGGGGAGGACTCAAGGCAGAGCTGGGCATCTGTGGCTCGAGGGTTGTAAGCGAATGAAATAGAAGAAGACAGCTTGCCGTCATACAGTAAGGTCTTGTGATGCTCGGCAAACAGTAAGTCACTCTCTGCTTTGTACTTGAATGTGCCCTGAAGACAAGGAAGCAGAAAAACGCAGAAAGTAGGAGACATTTAGTGGAAGACAACGTCATGGAGTCATTATACATTAAGGACACAGACAAATGAATGTCTTAATATCCAAGAAACTAGTATCAAATTCAGAAAATGCTACTGCGTGTTTTGTGTCTTTATTGTATGCCAGCCTGTGATTATTTTTATGTAGTTGCTCTAAAAGATCAAAATGACATGAAAAAGTTAAGGTTACGTTTAACATATGCTTGCAGGACTTTCCGTAAGTTCTTGCCCTTAAACCAAAAACCATTAAAATAAGGAAGAGCATATTTCTTCATTGCTGATGGATTTTGCCAAGAAGCACTTCATGGACTCAACCATCTAAATCAAACGTAAATCATCTGTGGCCGTGTTTAATTAAGGTAATTTTAATCTCTATCAAGCATCAATTGACTGTAAAGTAAATGTAGGTCCACGTGTCTTTGTGGCTTCCGACCTGGTAACCAGGTCCCAGCTGATAGATCGCCAGGATCTGAGCAGCGCTGAGCGCCTCTCCGAACAAGTAGACCGCTCCCATCTGTCCGCAGAACACACGGTTGGCGTCTGCTGTCTCAGACGATCCCAGGAAACACTTATCAAACGTCTGCAGCAGGAGGGATGTTGGAAGGAAATGGGGGAGGGCGGGGGGGGGGGACACAGATAGACAATTAAAGAAGAAGCGAGGGAGGGCTGTAAGGAATTAAGAGAGGAGGTAAAGATTTTTAAAAAAGACCAAAAGTAGACAGAAAGATCAGAGGGATGATTGGCGACACACAGCCTCACACTGTGAGCATACTGTGGCTTCGGGTTATGGTCAGTGTCATATGAGCAAAAGCTCAATCAAGAGGATAATTTGCTTTCAGACACACCTCGAGGAGTCGAGGCATTTTCATTTACCAACTAAATTTGATTAAAGAATGACACTTGACAGAGAGCAATCCCAGAGACAGAGTTCCTATGCTGATGTGGGAGTGCAGCAGGGTGCGTGTACATCGTCATCTTCCACTGCACTATTCGGCGTAAAATATGATAAGAATGGTAACCCCCCACCAGCCCGATGAGAAAAAAAAGACAGTTGATACTCTCCCAAAGCAATATCTGGTTCTTAAATTGATATGATATAAAGTGACTGAAAAATCTGTACTTTTTCACCCACAGGATGAACACTGATCCAACAGCCGGTGGATTAGTAAAATTAAATCGGGCCAGAGGTTCCATGCATGCATTTTGGGGGTTTTTAAGCAATCACAGATCACACTCCGCTAGACGTGAAGAACGATACCACCATGTGAGTGGGTTTATTTTAGCCAGAATATTTTAAAGCTAATAAATTAATCTGCTGCAGCTTAATATTAATTTGACAAACACGAGAGCGGTATAAACTTTCTCATCCAAATCTCTGCAAGAAAAGCCAATAAGACTCATCTGAAAAAACGTCTAAGATTTGTTTTTCTAACATTATCCATGAGGATTTATTCAGATATTCATATAGTGGTCTTGTGGTAGTTCTTACGGTGCGCTTATCAATCCGCGAAAGATGTTTCAGAGGTGCTACTTACATCACTGGTGTTGACAAACCAGGCGATGTCTCCAAAGGAAGCCAGTTCCCCGTTCACAAAGCAGCTAATCTCACTGTTTTTCCAGCGGTTGTAGACGTGAACGAGGGTCACCATGTACCACTGCAAAGACAAAAATAAGCAAAACTCTCACAGGTGCAAACTGCTGCTGAATATCTGGGCTCTCATCACACACAACAAGATATCAATAAGTCAGCATGTTGTATTCACTTGGCCTGCTCCCATCACGTTTCAAGATCCCGCCCACGTCCTCAGCCTTACTACCAGTAAAATAGGTTATTATGATGGTTTCTTCCAGACGTGAAAAAAGGCATTAAAAATAGAGTGAAAAATAAACTAAAATGAGTTATAGGTCCTCATGAGGTTTATCGGTTTCTAATTGCATCCACAGCGATGGTCTTCTGTCCCTGCAAGGGACTGGGAGTGTCGGGTAATCCTTCGCTCCCGTCGCCCTCATTCCTCCTCTTTCTTGTCTGGCTTCTCCAAAGAGTCAGGTAAGATGTGACAGTTGGGTCTTACAGCATGTCCAGATTTATGTGTGCCCCGATGCCCGTGTGCTATCGACTGACATGTGTGCCGACATATGGTGCCATTGAATCTACAACAACGACATTTCCAGGCTTCCCCTTTGTCGTGTGTGAGAATGCTTCGTGTCACGTTCCTTTCGTACCTTCTGGGGTTTGAAGTCGTACTTTACACAGTGCTGGAATCCTTTCCCCTTCGTTTTTAACGAGGTCACTATCAAACATCCACCCACAAAGTGTGCAGAGTAACCCATGCCTTTACTGGTGCGAAAACTGAAAAGAAAATTAAAAAAAACACAGTTTTAGTGAGGTTGCATGATTTCATGCAGACAACCTACCGGGCAACGCGGGATAGAGGGTGCAATATCGTATCAACGACTCAACAAACAATCATTTCTCAACCTCAGAGACTCATCATTCCACATGTCCGGGGGAGTTGCAGCCCCTGCGTGTGATTTAGTGGATTAATCTATTTTTCTTTTTTTAAAAGGGGACAGGGCTGAAGAGAAGCTCTTATTACACAATCTCTCAAGCAGCTCTTTGGCCATCAAGCTCGCTTAGAATTTTAGCAGACGCCTTAACAGATCCCTGTTGTATAAATTAGATTTTTGACAGAAATTAATTATTGGTTGAAAAGAAGATAACTGAGCCTCTGCTCCTCAGGGAGGAAGCAAAGGACGAAGAGAGCGTTTTTCTGTGAGGCTGGAGGCTGCACATTTTTGGTATTAAAATTAATTTATAAAGAGGACATGCATATGTTGACACTTTCGCATGCATCCATGTAGCATGCAATTCCCTTATCAGTTTGTTACAAAGGTGCAGGTTGACCTACCAGTACAGGTAAGGCTTGTCTTTGTCTACATTGATGTTGTTGAGAGGATCCATGCGCAGCCATGTGTGGAACGTAAACCCATTCTGGTACGGCCATTTTGCTATCGGAGGCAGAGCTATAGCCTGTGAGAAAAAAATCAACAAAAACTGTTGGCACAATTATGGACATTATACTGCTGACAAAAAGTACCAATAGCGTTTAGACGCCCCACCATGGCAATAGAGGTGGCTACATAGTATTAATAAAACTATAAAAAGATGCAATGCATTAAAGGGAGAGGATACTTGACTTCTGAATGAACAAACTGCTACTTGCTACCCTGCGGCAGGAAGAGGGAAGAAAAATTGCAGAACACCTTTCGCTGTAAGTGGTGAACAATTCATGTGCATGTGAGAGAAAAGCTTCTGTAAACTTCCAGTGTAATAAACATTACAACTGGAGAGCAATTTAACATTGTAATTGAAAGGAATGAACAATGCTTTTGAACGTATTATCCTATTATGTGTATTTCATTGTGTTTTGGTCACCAAAACAACTAGAGCAGGTTGTTTGGTTCTTCAATGAAAACATTGTGCATCTACAGGAGGGACAGGAAAAGGACACAGCTTGTGTTTGCAGCTTAGATTTCGACGACAAAGAACAGGGCAGAAGTTTTAAATAAACAACATGCAGGCGAGGTGCAACTGTAATTCTCAAAGCAGGATTTGAATAGTCCAAAGCTGAACAGCCAAGACAGAATACATTTGGATATACTTTATAGGATTGCCCTTCAGGGCCGAGAAGGGTCTGTGTTGTAGTAGCACACTAGATAATAAGAGAATGTGCAATGTTTATCAATTAGAGAAAAACTGCACGGTCAGTGAATGGCTGTTTAACAGGAAAACAGCTTAGGACGCATTTACAATAAAAAGGATTCAGGAGAGATTATCACTGAATGTCCAATCTTTCGCCTCATTAATGTATAATAGAAGTCTTTACAATGTACTTTTTGGGAGTCTGTTGTGGCAGGGTTCCATATTCTGTGCACATTTCTTCTACTCTTTTATCTTTCATCTACTAGGAAATCAAAAGAGCAGCACAGCTGATTTCCCGGCGGTCGGCTCATCGTCATCTGTGCAAATACGTTGCACGGATGCAATTCTGCCACCATGTTGTGTACTCACAGCTGCATTCTTCCCTGGAAAGCTGAAGAATGAGTCGGGGCCGTTCCTGTGCGCCATGTACTTCAGAACTGACAAAAGCTTCACTGCGTGACGAGGCTGCAAACAGAAGATCACAAAAACACACAAGGATTGTTTTAGATGGGCACACACATGCAGACGGAAGCATATGGACCCTTGCTACACACCTACTGTTCATGCACAAAGCCACGAATTATTAAAAGCCAGTGCAGCTTTGGCTCTGCATGTTCTAAATTTACCTCTTAAGACTCATCAGACTTTGACATCCAGCTAGTTTTACTCAGCAGCACACCAAGAACTCAGCAGCATCTTCATTTAGTACATCGCATACGTGTTATTGTGTACAAGCATTGTCTACTGGAGGGGGAAAGCTTTTAAAAACACACAGAAATTAATAATCACGGCTGAATCTGTGGGAGCGGTAAAAGTGATCAAATAATCCTGGATAATTGTACGATTTTCAACGAGTGCCTCGTTGTTAGAAGTTCCTGCACATCCACAACGTCTCCCCAGACACTTCACAAAAAACAAAATGGAGACGAGTGTTCGAAAGTGAGGTGAAATTTAAAAGCAACCCGCCGCATTTCCTTGAGAACTTGATTAGTGATTGATTGAGTTTCCCCTCTTGTGCGTCTCTCTCTCTGCATGTAGCGGCTTATCTTCTGTACAACGTTCATGCATCTAGAAAGCCAATGTTGTTGGCTGTGAAACAGCATTGTTTTAACATTACGGCTGCAAAATAAATCAAATTCAATTTTGGGGGAGGGTGGGTAAACTCCCAAACGAGCGCACGCCGAGGAGCAGGATTTCGGGTTGACGTGATTTATCTCGCCACTGTGACGAGGACATCGGCCCGTGGGACGGCAGTGGTTGGCGTGTTGCTCGCACATTCCTCATGCTGGTCCCAGACAACAGAGACAAGATCACAGTGGCATAAGTCTGACTCACCCACTGGCCTTTCTCCCCTTGCAGCTTACTGAAGAAAAGCTTCAGCTCCTTAACTGTGATGCTGTAGCTGGCGAGGACGCCCAACATGTCCACCAGTAGGTCTGCAAGACACACACACACGTTAGAATAAAACTCAGTGGTTTGCTAAACACTTTGCCGATATAAGCGTTGATATTACATGTATAACAATCCTTATTTGCATTTTACTCATCTAATCATCAGTGAGCGACACCGCTATAAAGAAGCAAAGACCTTTTCTAAAGAAAAGTAGGAGCAAGACCAAAAAGTAAAACGGAAAACACAAAAAAACACGATGGAGGACAAAAAACAAAAATGAAGTCGCCACCAGTCTCTTTCATCGGTTATTACTGGCTAACGATGAGGCTTGATGTGACAGATCTATGACGAGTTTGCACGTACACAACCACTGGTTCAAATCTCCAAATGTAAATCATGAGTGACAGTTCTATCCAGCGGGTCTTTTTTGTTAATGTTAACTATTCATACTGATGCTCAGCTGTTGAGTTTGGTGCTAACGACTGGAGAGCAGCTGATTTATGCCATTAGAGAGGAAGTAAAGCAACCAAATTACTTTAAGTGCATTTCAAAAGATCCTTTTCCACATGCACAGCTTCCTACGGTCAATAAAAGTACATAAAGTGTGCAAAAATATTGAAAAACAAACAGTATATAATTGTAATACATAATATAAGAGGCATTTCAGTTGTAAATGTATATTAATACAAAAACTGCATGAGTCCTACTGTAGGTAGAGGACGTTGCATTTGTGCTGTGTGAAATATCCCCATGAACATTACTTCCTACTATGGCCGCATAGTTACTGCTGGGCTGCACTACCCTCGCTTGACTGCACCAACGCTCGAGGCCAGCACTGTTCTAGCTAGCAAAAGTTCACTGAGCCGAACGGTGGAGGATTAATTCAGACTAATTTGCAGATGGGCAACAGACTAGGTCGACACTCTGGGGAGGAGGCTGTGCAACAGCGTCACTGTTGATGCAAAAACGAAGGACGGATAGGAAAGTTTAGACCAAAACAACAACAAAAACACAATTCAGGAGTAACTAAATAACAAGAAAGTGTTTCAGATGAGTCGGATGACACTGAGAATGTGTCAGGAAACGTTGTGCCCCAAGCCTCAAATGAAAAAAAAGAAAAAAGGAGACATCTTCCACTCCGTGGCGAGTACCTGCGATCATGCTGTCCGTGGTTTGTACGCGCCGGAGCACCTGCTGGATGAGTCCTACGTCGGTGCACGCCTGCAGGTTGCGGACGCTCTTCTTGAGGATGGCGGTGAAGATGCTCCAGACCTCGGCCTGACAGGTGGGCTCACATTGGTCCAGCAGCTCCACCATGCACACGATGCTGTCGGGTTCTTGGATGATGAAGTTCATCTCGAGGTCAAACTGGCCACCGACCAGCTGCAAGAGCGGTGCAAAGATGTCATGAGGGAGAGAAAAGAAACATTTTTAAAAAGGCATATAGATACTATGTGTGTGCACACTCGCAAGCAGATGATCAGTTGTGCTCAGAGCAGAAAATGTGATCCAATAAGCCACGTCAGTGAAACCATGTGAGACATCCAGACAGACACAAACGGGCAGAACCATATTTAGAGGTCTTTTGTCCCTGAAGGGCCCTCAGATACAAATGGCATGTGACGCAGCCTCGCAGTCACAGACTAAATTAATTCTTCCTTATGACATACGAGGGAAATACACAGCGATGAGGCACAGTAATGTGGACGGTCGCACTATAACCGCAGTTACAACCAGCATTTGTACATCTTGCAGGAATGCATCTTATGTGTGCCGAGCGGAGAGAATTAACAGTTCCTTCCACAGCCAATCAAACAAGTTTGTATGGTGAATGACAAACAGAAAATCATCATTCACGGCAGGAAGCAAGGAAGTAAATGCATCCGTCCCACCGCGTTAGTCAGCCTCAACAGTCATCGTGGGCTGAAGCTCGCTCAGGAGCCGCCCGGATACACTGCTGGGAGTGATGCTCGGATATAAATTGCAGGAGCCATAAATGTCTTAATTTGTCACTTCTTAATAGTTTTGATGACATATTTATTATTGGACCCTGGCTAATAGAAAAAAGATAAGGTGAATAACAACGTTGGGTGTCCAATTAATATTGCGAGCGAGGCGGTCGTGTTAAGAATCAAGGAGGTGTGACTGCACAAAAAATAAAAGAAAAAAAACGAACATGAAAGTCGTACTCGGCCATTAAGCAGGGTGGATGTGAAAACAATATGATTTGGAGCAGGGAATGAAAACTGTCCCATTAAAATGAGTGAGGTCGGATTAACGCAGCAAGTGTGTGGTGAATACAAGATAGGGAGGCAGGGAGGGAGGACGCTGCTGCCACAACATCCTTAAAGACGAGGCACAAAGTGATGATAACGATGACACACACGTCACATTATGTCCATTCACCCCCCCCTCTAATAAATATCTATGGATTCATGTCAGCATTAACAATAACATGGATGACCTTGCTCAAGGACCATTTCCTTTGTCTAAACATCATAAAGCCTTGTTTTTAACATTGACATTGTATATCTGTATGTACATGTAAATATCACCAGAATCTAAAGTGCCAACTCAGATTTAGCATTAATATTTAGCTTTAACTTATGGTTTAGTGAACAATGCAGAGCCTAATGAGACGTTTGCTTTCATCGACCGGCCAATAAATGTTGAATGCAAAGATAATCCCTTTCCAAATAACCATACATACGTGTATTTTGATGTAGATATAAAAGAAGCAAAAAAATCAAATTAAAGATGATAAAAACACACATTTGAAAAGAAATCTACTTAAATCGACTGATTGCCAATCACATCCTTTGTTCACTTTTTTATGTTTTAGTCCTTGGAATCGGGTGCAAGTCAAGAGTTGTAACTTCATATGACTAAACACAAAATAACGCAGTAACACTTGAACCGACTAGTGCCCGCACAGCAGCCTGTATTCTCCCCTTTTTGTCACTTTGCAAGTAGACGATAAATCATGCATTCTTTATCGGAGTATCATTTATCAATTTTGGGTGAGGATTGCAGCCAGGTCTGCCGTTAATGGATGTCGGCTGCCATTTTGCCTCCGTAACAGTTGATTTATGAGCGTGACACTCGGCGCGAGTCATCCATCCATCAGTCAGCCGACCAAGGAGACTGAGAACAAATACGAGGACGGACACACATGCAGAACCAGGAACTTTACTACAACAAAAACGTATTGTGTGTGTGTGTGTGTGTGTGTGGGGTCCCCTGTTTTGTTTGGTGTTATAATATGAAATAAAAATGCCTGACGTTTGTTGGTTTGATTCTCGCGGAATGCTTGTGCCGTGTTTGTTAGTTTTGATTAATTCAGCTATTAGTTCAACTTAACACACGCGTGCGCGTTATTTAATGACAAGACAAGTGAAGACCTGTGAATTAATTCTAAAATGAAGGAAATATAATGAGTCGGTTTGCATTGGCAGTATCATGTACATTTCTAGAGTAATATAAAACAGATAAAAGCAAGTAAAAATAAATACATTTAAAAAAAAAAAAAGGTATAATCCAGAAAGTAAAGACCCCAAATCTTTTTCAAATCAAAAAGTTTCTTAAGTTGTGTATTTTAAAGTCTGTGGACATACATAATGAAATTCAAACATTCTTTATCTCAGGCAGCACACCGCTGGTGGCCGTCTCCAGGTTGCTACTGGGACTTTATGTTTGACTGAATTATGCAACAATTAATCAACTGCGATACCCTGAACCCAAAAAAAACTGATCACATTGAATGCATCTACTGGGGCATGGCAAAGAGGTTTACCACATTTCACTGTACTACGTAGTTCAATTCAATCATTTACACTGCTCTATTTCAGGAACAGGCGTGAGGGTTTGCCAGCTCCGGCCGAGGAGCCGCCACAAAGCCGATGGCCTTCATGGCGGCCAGTCACCGGACCCCCGGCTGGGTAACCCGGCCCGGCCGGCCTGAATTAATCATGGCTGAGCAGCCGAGCGGCCACTGGGCCGAAGCACAAAGCACAAACGGGCTTCTATGGTCCCCATGGAGGACAACACCAGGGGGACGGCAGGGCAGAATGCTGCGCCAGAACGTGTATTCTATCTATGGGTGAGCAGGAGTTGTATTTCAGGAGGCCGATGCCGGGGGAGGGGGGGTTAGGATTCTTGGAAAGCGAAGAGGAGAAAACGAATGTCCACACAGTCTGGTAACATATTTACCACAAAAAAAAAAAAAAAATAGCTTGGCTGTGCTAAAAAAAGTAGACAAATTGAAAAAAGATGACAAAGAAAGAAGTGAAAATTAAGAATGAAGTAAAAAAAAAATAGCATAAAAGCTATTTATGTGAAGGTGTAAACGAATAACATCTGACCAAAACACATGCAGCAGGCACTGATTCACACTTTATTTTGCCCAAACAGAACTATCCCAAAAGCACTGGTGGGTAAAACTGTGAAAAAGTTAACTGCTTTGGCCTTTTTATAAATAAAAAATCAAGGGAAACCAGAGTCAGATTCCACGTATGCGTGAGCAGCATACTTGGCCAATAAAGCCAAATTCTGATTCTGATAATGAGTCTGGTGTAAATTGCAAGCACACACGTTTTGGTAGTGAACAAGAAATGAGACGGAGAATAAAAGCAAGCACTAAAGAAGCGGCGCTAGAAGAAACATCAAAATGATTGCAGACGGCCGTGTGATGCTGAAGATGAGAGAGCGTAACAAATGAGGGCTGCTTTGCAATAAAGGGGGAGGAAATTACCCATCTTATGAGTAACAAGCAGAAACACTCCTCCTCCCAAGTTCCGGCCGAGGATGAGACCTACTAACACTGTGTGTGTGTGTGTGTGTGTGTGTATTCGTCCTTCAGTTCCCTCCCCAAAGAAACAGCAATTAACTGTAAGGGTGAAATCATTTGAACATGAAGTCATTTGCCTGCAGGAGACGACAGCGGACGGACAATGGAAGAGTGCCCTGTGACGAGTTTGCACTCGCGGCTCGCCTCTTGCCGCTCACGTGGCGTGCGTCGGGCCTTCGAGTTGCTCTGCGCCGTCGGAGCGAGCTGCACGCATCCCCTGATGTCATCAGGGGAGGACAACAGGTCTCGGGGGACGCGTCTGACGCCGGTGATACCTCGGTGGTGAAAAGGGTACGTGGATGTCATTTACAGGCCCCGTCGGGCAAGAGGCCGGCTTACGCGTTGGCTCTGCACGGCGCGGCCGGGGTTTCACTGCCACTGGCCCACTTTTCCCAAAACGGCTCCCCCGACTGCATCTGCCAAAAGACGGCTGAGCAAAACTCCCAATCACAACACACAAACCGAAAAATGTACCACACCGACACGAAACAGGAACGCGTGAATGTGATATGACAACATTTTATAATCCGGCATTTCCAACACCGTTCAAATGGCTCCGGCAGATAATCTGTCCGACTCAAATCCCTCTGGTGCTGGTGCCGATGTGAGGGAATGAGCTTCTGGTGAAGATGAGGGGATATAGTGAGGCGAAACGCTTGTGTTATATCATGCTCGCGTTAGAAAATATTCAAGCAACATTCACAGCGGTACTACCGTTAAGGATGCATGACTTGATTTGGCCAAATCCTTCTAAATGTCATGTGATGTTGAACATCTGTTGGGCTCGCAAGGGGTCTGCCAAGTGCTTAATGCTCAATTTAACTGATCTATCGTTGCCAGTTTGAATAAATGATTTTTTGCAGATTACGGCGTTTTTACTTCAGGACTGTTGTTAATTCCTTAAGTCTCGCGATGGCCCAGAGATGCGCACGTTACACCATCTAACCGCATTCAGCTCAGAGAATCCATATGAAACTGTATGCTGTGCAGCTGATGCCCGGCGTCCATTGGAAGCAACGAGAGAGGACGCTCAGCTGCCCGGGAGCTTCCAAGGACTCCCCTTGTTTGATTAATTGAGGGACGGATTAATTCATTTTTGTATTCATATTGCTTTACTCATATGCAAACAATATCTTGAACCCACAATCCCCAGATAGAAATTCCTTAGCTTCTAATTCCTAGACCAGAAATCTGCGCGCAGGTCCAAAGGTTCCCGATCGCCATTGATTCGCTGGCTGAAGACGCAATAACACATTTGATTTTCTCTTGAGATATGTTGGGGGCCACACGCCATTGTGTGAAATTAGAAAAAGGCCCACAAATATCCAACACCCCCGGCAACCCCAGCTATTTGTGTGTCAGCAGGAAGTGGAAGTCCAGCAACATCCAGTGTGAGAAAAGAGACACACTAAATGCGGGATGACAACTGACCTGTAGAGTGGCGCAAATAATGGTACACCATGTTGGTGGTTTGGGGATATAACTACCATGCTATTTGTATCATAAAACGTAGCCAAGGAACAAAAACACACTGGTA